ACTGTGGTGATTAAACGCAAATATATAGAGCTACTTTTTTATTTGATTTTTTTTACTTTGTTCAAAATATACAAATGTTTTACAAAACTATGGTCAACCATTGACGGGTTGAACAAGAATCAAACACAATCAAAAGAACAATGCAGGAGGGAACTGCCTAGTGTAGAACACTGCAATTTAAAGAAATACATCAGCTTAACGTTTAATAGTGGATGAAATACACAAGTCCATCATTGCCATCAAAACCAGTAAATAATACTAATATCCAGGACATTTAAGATGATATATGTGGTGTATATATACACACTACACAGTATATGATGGGTTCACAATCAGGTGAACTCGTAGTGGAAGGTTCTAGCGATATACAGCTGCATAGTTTCGACTTCAGGAAAGGTCCAACTAGGTTGTAATACTATCGTGCTCAGCCAGCCCTTTGAATATGACCACGTACGCATGTGAAATCTAAGGTTCTACACTGTGTGTTGAATTGAATCTGGCTGTAGAGCGCAAGCTTTAACCTTCAGACCATTATTGAGTACACAAGGTAAGGCAGGTTTACAAGCTGTGTTAACAGTTAAACCAGATTCTAGGGCAGCGCTTGGAGAAAATACAAAAACGCAGAACAAAACTTTGCAAATAGAATCGGCTAATTTCCAGGACAGGACGCAGCTTTTAAATCAAGCGCTGCAGTCTAATAAACACTAAAGTTGAACCGCTTAGACACAAATGTGTTGTTGGCAAGGTGCTGGATTTTATTTGCCGACAAGATCATCTTTTACTCTAATAAATATTAATTTAGAGCTTTTATGAAGACATTAAATCTACACATGCAAAATAGTTGTTTCAAATGGTACTGCAAATAAATTATTTATACAACATGCAGTTCAGATATTATAGAAAATAAACGTTTTGATCTTTCTATTTTTGTTTGCTTTGACAAGGCAGAGGTGCAGGACGCATCTACAGATCAGCTGCCCCAAAGGGACCTATTGAGAAATGAAGCTGTACTGCTGAAACTTGAGATACATCATGTATTTTCATATTAAATGTTCTTGCATATACCTTTTAAAACAATGGTTCACCTCATCCGTTTTAACACCCTGTTAAAAAAATACTTGCTGACAAAATCTGAAATCTGACCCCTTTCTTTATTACTAAGAATTTAAAGAAAACAAGAAGCTCACATCTCCATTGATTAGGTGTTAAAATAGTTTAATTATATATCTAAGGTGGTCACGTATTTACAGAAAGTTGGCTAAATTAAAACGCTGTTTCTCCACTGGACTTTGTAAGGACACAGCATGGCTTTCTGTCAGAAGGCAGGTATTCCTCTTGTGTAATCTGCATACAATTTCACTTTTTGAGCAGCATCCTGGCAAAGTCCTCATTGGACAGAGACTTGGTTTGAGCGTCCAGGCTTGTGGTACCAGATCCTCCGTGCACCCCGTCTGTCACTGTGGCATGTGGTACAGAAATGGTCCCGTTCTCCGCTTTGGCATCTGGAGCACTCTGTCGGTACAGAGAGCGTGGCAGCAGAGAGACCTGAGTGCGTCCTTTTCCCCTTCTGAAAATAAATAATAATGTTTAAACAGAAAGAACTGAAGTTTTCAGTAAATCAGGACTGTGGAAAGAAAATTGGAAAACTGTTGTCACATGACGTTAGGGCTGATCAATTTATCAATGGGTTTTCTGAAAAAAAAAAAACTTTTTTGTGTGGCTGAAAAGTCGACAATTTTTTTAAAATATACATTAAATAATAATTATTTATTTTATTATTATTAAATATAAAATAAAATAAATTTGTATTGTAATATTTCACTGTAAGAGTATAAACAGGGCCCGTATTCATAAAGATTCTAAGAGTCCTCTCATGAAAGCGATTCGGGACCGATCTGAGAGCAACTCTGAGTAAGGAAAAGACAAAAACTTTCATCTTAGTGAGGAGGCGGGGCTGACCCCGTTGCCATGTATGACACAATCTTTTGAAGACTGCGATTGGTTGGTTGTCCAAGAAGGAAAAAAGGTGATTTTAAGTATAGGGTCTATTATAAGCCTTCACTTAAGATCGCGAGTCAGCATCGTCAACTTCATCTTTGGCCGACACTGACAAAGAAAACACTTTTTTGCCGGTTTTTTGTGACAACTTTTAGCTGCTTTATTGGCAGCTGCACCCATTTTACATGAACACATCACCACCGCACCACTTTTTTTTTTTAAAGAATTTGTTGTGTGATTCATTTAATGGAAAACACATCCACTGCTAGTTGTCTAGCTGTTTATTTTAAATAAACGTAGAGCAAGTAGCTAATCAAATTGTTGCAACGACCCACCCCCTCCCCCACCACGGTTATGTTACAAACCGTCAGATTTGACTCACTTCATAATCGTGAAAATCACCAACCCTGAAACCTCTTTTTCTTCCCCAGATCAAATATTACAAACAACAACAAAAGTATTTTCCCTGCAGACATGGGGCTTTGTGAATGTTAGTAATTATTTTGAGAAAAACTGTGTCTTGGTCTTGGCTTAACAAGCAGAAATCCAACACGTGACCTGCCGCATCAAGTACTTACGCTCCCTGAGGTTGCCTTTGCATTGTTGCCCCCAGGATTCGACTAGGTGCTGCTTTCTCTTCCATGTTCCTTCTTGGGGGGTTGCTAATAGCAACAGAGAGAGTGAAGTTCTCCAACATGGTGCCGTCCATCTTCAGCACAGCCTGTGAAGCCTGTGCCTCGTTCTCATATTCCACATATGCTAAACCCTACAGAGCACACACATAAATTACTGTGGAGAGAAAACAACCTATTCCTTTAAGTTTTTGTTTAAAATGTTTGCTTTTTACTTTTAGACATGAGTAATATCAGCTTGGAGATTACTTTTTTTCAGGTATACTGGGACAGTATATGTTTTGTATTCACGTTGGTGACAGAGACCTACACACCTTGGGTTTGCCTGAACGGTTGGTGACTATCCGGACGGCTTTGATTGTGCCGTGTTCTTTAAAGAGGTCCTCCAGTGTCTCTTTAGTGCAGGAGTACGGAAGGCCCGAGATAAAGATCTTGTGCTTCTCCAATGACGTGTTGTACTTAAAAACCTGCAAGGCAGACATTGTAATAAAAATAATTAACATTATAAAAAAGCCAACCAAAGTTCAAAGAAAATGTAATAATTGTTCACTTGAACATAGGGATGATGTGTAAACAAAACAAAAAAAAACAGTAGTATACAGTCTAGATACCTTGAAATCAGGATTCTTGTTCTTGTCCACACAAGGAGACACATACATGGGCCGTCCATCCAACTCATGTCTGTCTAGTTTCAGTGCCTCAGGTACAGCAAGCCGGTCCTCAAACTGCACGTAGCAATAGCCTCTAAACACACCTTTTGGCGTATACACGAGCCGCACCTGCTCTACTGTCCCACAACCCTTAAACAATGTTCGCAGCTTGCCCTCGGGGTCTTCCAGATTAAAGGCCAAGTTACTGACAAACACACTGTTTTCTTCTTTGCGTTGCTCCTTTGACACGTCCTGGGGTTCTCGCTGTGCTTCAGGCGCTCTCTGCTGGTTCTTCCGGAAACCAGGGGGCTCGGTTTTACGCGGTGGTGGAGCTCGTCGGCCGAAAAGCCCGCTTTCCGTCTCCATGAGTTCCTCTGTGGCCGTGCTGCCAAAGTCCCCTTCCCCTCGGAGCCTCTTGGATGGCAGCTCTGCACATGTTTGATATTGTCATTACAGCCAAAGTGTTAGCTTTCACAAATGGAAATAACCTTCAATTTCTCAATTTCTCCCTCCATCCATACCTGCTTCCTCTCCCCATTCCTCCTCGCCATCTTCTTCAGCTTTCCGTTTATCCCCGGTTCTGTTTGCTTTCTGGCTCTTCTTTTGGCCTTTTTTCTCTGCCTTGGCTTTCCTCCTTTGCTCAGCTTTCTCCTCCTCTTGTCTGGCTAGGTTAGACTCTTTTATAGCCACCTGCAGAAACAGCATACTTATGGCTCATTTCTAAACATTAACAATTACATGTCTACACGGTGAGCTTTTTGGCAGATGCCTCAAACATAATAAGTTTGTGGAAAATTCCAAAAAGACTAGTTATAGGACTGACTCTTGCTCTCTGCTCATTGACCCTGTTGAGTTTGGTCCCTGTTTTTTGGACTGCAGCATCCCAGTCTTCCAGAGAGCCTGTGAGAGACAAAACCCACATAAACACTCAAAGCAAAACACCTGCATAAACAGCAGTATACATATGAAGAGTTCAGACGCAAAAGCCTCTTAGTGCCATTTGAAATTTTCTTCTAAAATGATCTTTTTTTTTATCAAGCTTGCATATTTAAGTTCAGTAATTTCACTTAAATGGCAATGAAGATTACCTATTAATTGTAATTTAAGTGAAATTACTGAACTTAAAATACACAAGCTTGATAAAAATGGTCATTTTAGAAGAAAATTTCAAATGGCATTTAGAGGCTTTTGCATCTGAACTCTTCATATACACATGAATCAAACTCACCCTCCACTCTTTCAAAGTTGAGCAGGACATCACACACATGCTCAGGGTAGTCTGATGTACATTGTACAGCTCTGTGAAGAGCCTTCCTGCAGTGAATAGTATCTCCATAGGACCTGATCAACAAGCATACAAACCATTAAAATAAATTAAAATAACCTCAACTTATTAGCTAAGGCTAAGTCAGGGGAAGCCCTATTAGCACACATTATTCTGATAAAACAAAACAAACGTTTGTTTTCATAAAATTTAATCAAGTCACGTAGTCCATGAGGGACAGATCCTAAACATCCGTTATTTGTGGTAAATAATATACTGGGAAGGATATCCAAACGTTCATCCCTATTATCCATCGACCTCAAATATGACTTATCATTTGAAACATTAAAGGGATAGTTCACCCAAAAATGAAAATTAGCCCATGATTTACTCACCTTCAAGTCATCATGGGTGTATATGATAACATTATTCTTTCAGACAAATACAATATCAGTATTTATATTTTTTATATTATAAATATTATGTTATATTTATATTTTACAATCATTTATTTAAAAAAAAAAAAAAAATTAAAAATGTACTGACTCTTCCAAGCTTTATAATGGCAGTGAATGGCCATTTCTGTTTTGACGTCCATAAAAGTACATCAAATCATCATACAAAGTGCTCCACACGGCTCCAAGGGGTTAATAAAGGCCTTCTGAAGAGAAGCCATGGGTTTCTATAAGAAAAATACCCATATTTATAACTTTATAATCTAAAATAACTAGCTTCAGCCAGATGACTGTACGCATACTACGCAAGTATGTAGGAGCATCGTAAACTTTAGCACGGTTTAAACAAATAGGGCTGTGCAACAAACTCAAGCTCTTCCTATAATATGTAGAAATCCTCCGACTTTATCTTCAACATTTTTTGACATAATATAACTCCAATTGATTTGATCTGAAAGAAGAATGTCATATACACCTAGGATGGCTTCAGGGTGAGTAAATAATGGGCTAATTTTCATTCTTGGGTGAACAATCCCTTTAACCTAGATAGATGTGTGCTATTATTAGGTGCATATCCAAGTGTTTGTGTAATTCAAGGGTAACTAAAGGGTCTACTTTTATTTTTGTAAACTCACAACATCAAGAAAACATAGGGTGTCTTTGTAAAGAAAACAAACAGGATCTGCTTTCTCTGTGAAATGGAGGGCGTCACAAAAATGAACCAAGTTTTGGTATAGGCTACTTGCCACACAGACATGACAAATATATCTATAGAAAGCATGAAATAACTCATTTTAAATGAACCCATTCAAATAGAAAACAAATACTATATGAAAGATGCATTTTTATGGAGGAGACGATGAGTCAATGTCGTCAACTTCATCTTTGCAGACGACACTGACTCCGAAAACACTAGGTTATTCATAAACTCTTAAACCACCCCCACCCCCTCAAAAGTCTAAGACTGTACACATTTGTTCCCCCTCAAATGAAAGTGAAATTCAGAATGTTTTAGTATTTGGGTTGACCCCCTTTTGCCTCAATCACAGCAAGCTGCATAAATCCCACAAGTTTGTGTAAAACCTGCTGATCACTTATCCAGCATGATTTGAGAATTATTCAAAGAGAATCTTGTTCTTCAACAGAAGCAAAAACATATGACTTGTTGCACAAACAGATGAAAATTACTGACCTTTCCAGGTTGTAATATTCCAACCACATGTTGGCATATTTTGCATTCCCTTTTGTCATTATGCTGTCCCACAGTTCACGGGCCTTCTGCATGTTCTTACAGTGTAAAGCCTGTTTGGAGCAAACAGACACAAGCAGCACTGTAACAATTGCGGACAGACTGTAGTCAGCAGAATGACATTACTTAATGGAGGATCGACAGATGCAATGGTATAGTGTTTCCTCACCTCTATCTTTGCCCAGATCTGCATTATTGTGCAGGACAGATCTCCACTTTCACTGAACCCTGAGAAGAAGTGGGACGGTAGTTAAATATTTCTTTCTACCAAGTCTGCACTCATACCTCATAAAAGCAGACAAGATACTTACTCTCTTCTACATCCTGTTTCAGGTAATCAAGGGAGCGTGCAAAAGCTGCCCGCAGCTCGTCCAACTCCCTGCTCCACTCTGCAATGATCAACAAATCACCAGATTCACTAAAATGTGATATCAGCTGTTACTGTGGACCAAAACTTGAATGTAAGAATAGATCAGAAAAAGGGGCAGAAAGAAAGAAAATCATATGGTCTTGCCTTTGCTGAAATCAACACGTCTCCTCAAGTAGTCCAAATAAGATTGCCAGATTTCTACATAATCAGTCGCCTGGATGAATCCTGCATTTAGGGCCTTTTCAAACACATCTAAGGACATATTTTTGCACGTTAAAAATGCTTCTATTCCTGCTAAAGGTTTTTCTCATTCATACATTGATTCAACATAACAGTGTTCCCACACCTTTTGTCATTATTTCATAGAGATTGCACACAAAATTTATTATTTTATATTTAGAACTGAGCATAATCTAAGAAAGTTAAATTCACTATATATAGATCTTTTCCATGACAATAGGAATCCTGTTCTAAATCACAACATTTGATGACGCAGAAATGATTGAAACGAGTACCTGTCACGGTCTGATGATCTGCCCCATGCCGCTCTAAAGCCAAAAGATAGCTCTTCCACAGGCCCATGGTCCAGGGACAGTTCCTGACGGCTCGCTCATGAGCAGATAACACTAGATCTTTTATTTTCAACTGACGATCCTGAGGTAGAACAGACATTTTTTTTCAATATACATATTTTTTGCAGTAGGTGTAGAGAGTAGGTGTGAATGACCAAGCAACATCCACCAAGAGCAGCTATTTGACTCACACAAAAATGATGGTTTAACACTTTCTGCCTGTCAATTTTAAACATTTTCAACTGAACATTTAAAAAATATAGATACCAAATGGGAAAGTTCAAAATCAGTTTCAAAGATGTCATTTTTAATAACATATCATGGATGTAACAGGTAAAAATATACACTTGTTTCAAACAAATGCAGACGAAATGAGAAAAACTATAATTTTGTTTTACAAACATGACTGTAAATTTAGGTTGAATGACTGATTTTTACAACTTAAAAGAATTGCAGAGATTGAAACAAATAGACATCAGATTCAGGATGGATGAAGAGCAAATTCACACCTGAATATTCTGTTTCGCTCAGAAACATGTTACACAATTGAAGTAGAAATACAACCAAAATTCAGATTTATCGATATGTAAAATCAAGATATTAACACAGCATTGCTTGTACAGAAAAGGTCTTCAGCCTTTTTGCCTTCCACACCAAACCCAATGAATATGCTTCAGAAAGAGCAGGTGGCGAGTGTGATGAGTAGTGAGTAATGATCATAATTCCCTGTCCAATCCACCACTGCTGTTCTCCTGCCAACCCATTTACAAGCACGTCTGCTGCTCAAAAATTACATGTGGCATCAGGCTAAAGAAGACATTCAGCAGGGAATCACTCTGTTGTAAAAGAGGTTTAATCCACAGCCAAGACAATTTGGTCTGTGGGAAATTGCCTTACATCAATAACCATTCAGTAAAATGCAAAAATGGCTTTAAAAACGGGAGAGATTAATAAAATCCCTGCTTTGCACACCCTACACCAGGGTTTCTCAAACTCGTTCCTGGAGGGCCACTGTCCTGCAGACTTTACCTCCAACCCTGATCAAACACACCTACCTTTGAGTTTCTAGTGATCCTGAAGACCTTGATTAGCTTGCTCTGGTGTGTTTGATCAGGGTTGAAGCAACTCAACTGCTCACTGCCCTTCTGTTTTTGTTTCATCAAAACTGAATGTGGATATCTGTTGAAGTATCAATAACGGTAGCAACGTTCTTTGATGCATACGAGACTCCACAGATAAAACGATAGCCGAATACTCTTAATAGACGGTGCATGGATATTAATGAGAAAGAAATTAAGATTCCATTCCACTATGGAAACAGATCCAACACTCGTTCCTAAAGTGGTGCAGGTCATTGGTTAGGTAGAAGGCTTTGGATACAATACAGCACTTTGTAAAACCAAGTAATGACCCCCTATATATCCATTAGGCAGATCAGCTATGTGACTCACAGTGTGTGGTGCATATAATTTAGTTAAATAGCATCTCAATTTAATCACCTAAGAGAGTACAAGTATGGAGACTTGATTTAATTACTTCACACATCCATAGCTGCCAGGAATTCAACTGCCTGAATGAGTTTCACTAACACACTCCAGCCCATATCCCTTAATGCAGAAGTTCATTAATTTCAGCCGTTGAATCAGAAAGCCCAAATGGACAGAAGCTGTGGCTGCTAATATGGGGAGGAGTCATTCTCTCCCCTTCTCGTTCTTATTTTTCTCCCCCTACGTGCCTTCCACCATCTCTCTTTCTGTCTTGTTAACTCACATTTTCCCCTCTCCCTCCCTCCATCCATCTGGTGAGGTGCCGGCTCTCTAATGTGTTCTCAGCTGCAACTGCGCTGTTACGCGTTAGTGGCTTGTGCATCTCATTACCATCCCATTAAAGCAATTAATATGTTCCTGAATAAACAGAGGGAGGTGTGGGGCTGGCACATGTGCAGATGCACATTCATTTTGTGAGCTGTACGAAGGGCTGTTGGGTAAAGGGGGATGTGTGCTTATGCAAGTCACTCACCAGATACGTGTTGTATTTGATCCAGAGGTCTGGCACAAGGCAGTTCTCCGCCAGTGCTCGCTCAAATATAATCTGGACACGGGCCGGATCCCCTTCCTTCATCTCAAAATCTATGTACGCTTGATACTCTGCCAGCTTTGGAGTTTCAGAGACCAGCTAGAACATCAAAAAGAACAGCATTAGAAAGGACAAAGAAGAAACAACAGTTTGAATTTAACAGAAAAAACAGGGAAATTTCATCTGTTGTAATTAAAAGATTATTGTAGAGTTTAATTATAATTAGTGACTGGGTGCTTTCATTTAAAATAAGTGCAGTGCAATTCTGTTCACTATTTAAAATTACTTCTACTTTCTGAGAGCATGGTACATTCACCACTTTCTACAGCAAACAGCACTAGTTAGGTTGAATTTGTTTTCTGATTTCAGTTCCTCTTGTAACTTGAGTGAATTATTTGTTGAATATGAAAATCTGCACAGTATAAATAATAGCATCTACATAACATGTTAATCCTTCACTGCTACACAAATAGGGTCACTCATTAGTTGATGTATTTGTCAAGTTGAGGTCTAGAAGCTTTAAAGTCAGTCTTAGCCATTTTCTTTCTCCAATGTGCTAAATGTCCAAGAAAAAAAGAAAAAAAAAAAGGTAGAGCATGACTTGATTGTGTCCACTGGGAATTAATTAAATAGTGAAAAGTGTTCAGGTTTTGCAGTCAATTATGGAGGACTGCTTCAATACCAATTTGGTAAAGCAGCCTTAGTGATGTCAGCCAAAAAGGAAATTGTCTCAGAGATGGTTTAAGCCTTTGGTGTTCGATGAAAGACTTAAAAGAAGAAACAAAAAAAACAAAAAAAATGTGTAATAAGAAAGTCAGTAAGATTAAACTGAGATGTCAGGTTGACTTCTCCTGAATGGGAGAAAGTATAGTGTTGATTAGCATATGTTTGTGGACAAAGAGCTTTCATTACCACAGATGGTTTATTCATTCAGAATCTCTAAATGACACTTGTGAAGACTGATTTTGGCTGTAAGAGGGTTACTGTAATAAATGATTGTTAAATCACAACCATTCATTTTGCATTCAATTATGATAGAAAATCAGAAAGTCAAAGGGTCTCTTAAGCAATTAGAAAAGCGCATAGTTACCAAAGCCTCCTCGTAAGGTTTGCATTTCTCCATCTGTTTCAGGGCCCGTCTGTACTGTTGTGTGACCGTCTCAGGTACGCCATCATCAGCCCAGTCAGAGTACTCCGCATACGTTCCCTCCATATCTACACAACACAATGTTAACACATAAACATGAGAAACAAAGCATCCAGGTATGTCAGCTTTAAAAAAAATTCACTGTTACTGGAAAACAGCATCTGTTCTGTTTCAAAGATGCTTTGAAATGGTCTTTCTGTTACTACTGCACTTCTCACCTATGTCAATCACCACTACAAGGCAATTTTATGACACAGAAATAGGGCAATAGAAACATGAGCCGTGCTGTACGAAAGCCCAATCTGTAATCTGGCTCTCTTAGCTGAGTGGGATGTGATCATCGCTTTCTCCACCGCATCTCCGGTGCCAAAAGCAGCCGGCAAGGAAAAAAAAAAAAAAAATGCGCACAAAACCAGACCATCTGGCTATCTGCAGGCAGCTCCTGGGTCTCCTGTCTCTAGCCTGTGTTACAGTATCTGGCGACACTGGTGTCTACTTCACAGAACCTATACTACTTGACTTTCAGAAGCGTACATGAAAGGAAACCACATGCAACGGTCAATTTTATTTGTAACTCAAGACTTAATCAATACCATCTGAGCAGATTTCACTTCAGTCTAGACATGTTATTCTCAATTTATTTTATTTCTGCCAAATTGCGCAATCTTATATTCATAGTCTAAATTCTTTCAGCATCCGTTCTCCCGTACTCTTCGGCCTGTGGATAAGTTTTTCCGATTATACATTCCAACGTTGGAAAGAGAAAGAGACAAGAAAGAATGAGAAAGTGGTGGACTGAAGGAGTGAGAGGAGAGAAACAGAGCAGCTCTCACCCATCAGAGGTACAGCGAGCTGCCGCCTGAAGAGTGTGTGTATGCGGTCGAGCTGGGCATTCAACAGCTCCTGCTGCTCCCGTGATGGAACGCTGCCGGGAGGAGGCTGAACATAAAAGAGGGGGTTAAATCACCAATACAGTACAAAACAAAACACTGCAATCGTTCAAGATATTTAAACAAATTCATACTTCTCATTACTATTCATGTGATTTCATAACAAGCATTTCAGTTTGGCAATTTTGACAGCCACTTAATGCCACGCTGATATTCTGTAATGAATCTAAGTAGGAACCCCGAGTACATACCTGTACTGTTGAGAGAATAACAATCTCAAACTCCCTGTAGGCCTCCCAGATTGAAGCTCCTTTAGTCACATGTACACCCACTGCAGTCAGTGCCCTTTCAAAGATGGATCGAACACGTTCAATCCCTCCCTGAGCTCCCATTCCCCCGATCGAGAACTGCACATATTCCAACCAGATCTCTGGACCTGTGAATGGGTTAAATTCAGATTATTGGTGGTAACGGAATGCGTTTTATAGTCAAACACTCAAATATTACACTTAGAAATGGGTTTAATTTGGTCAAATTTTGCAATGTTTTCTAAGAACTGAAGATTACGAACATAAGCCACACTTACACACATAATCGTTGACGGCCCTCTCAAACAGCTCGTAGACTTTCTCGCGTTCCGATTCGTCTTCTGTCAGGCGAATTTCATCCTTAAGCCAGTCCAGCCAAATCTCTGTTCCACCAAACATATTCAGTCAAACATAGCACGCAATAGCCATATCATCACTTGTTTGTAATACATACACATGCATTTATAGTCTGTAAATAAATACATGCACTTTTAAAATAAAATCATTTTAAAATTGCTGCCCAGTGCTTTTAACACACTCTCATTATCATGTCCAGTAAATCAATATGAATCACTATCACAATTTAAATGAATTGTTATCTGCAAGGTTGCTCAGTCCTGTTTCTGGAAAGCAACTTTCCTGGGGAGTGATGTGTATTCACTACTTAAGAACAAATTCACAAAATAGCCAGAACTCCATAAACACTAGTTGTCCTTTCACTAAAACTCTGGCTACCACACAAGGCACACAGAGAGAACAGAAAACAAAATAAGGATGTCCAACCTTCAGTGAGAGGAAAGAGTTCACTCATCTTCTGCCTGGCCTTACGCAGTCTGTGAAGTTTCCCTTCCTGCCGCAGAAGTTTGATCAGGTCCACATGGCAGTTGTAATCAAATGCGTTGATCGACAGCTGTAGAAATGGGACACATGACATGTTGTTGACTTCTGCTTTCTGAGATTCACATGGTATTTACAAAATATCATACAACTGCAATCTTGATTCACAAAAGGGGGCTTTCGCACCAGAGGAACGTATTCATTGTTTCTATAACTACTGGCGGAAGTACTCGCTTTTTGGTGTGTTTGCATCGCAGGAACTTTTGGGGGGACTGAATTAGCTCCTACTTCAGAGTAGGGTCAAACCCAGCACAATAGGAACTACCAGTGACGCAAGTGAATACTGATTGGACAAACATGTAAAACAATGGCACCCGGCATTTTTCAAAAAGCCATGCAAACAGTTTACATCAGTGGTTTGGTCCTGAAATATTTTTGGTCACAAAAAAAATCTGGCACCGACACCACCACCTTTGAATAGCAAATAATTGCACTAAAAACAGTAAGATTTTTTTCAACTGAACAACTTGCAATGAAAACACCTGCAAAAGATTAATGCCTTTGGCCCATTGAAAAATATAACAGTAAGTTAGAAAAACAATCTGAAGAGAGAAAGATACAGTGGAATTGAGGTTCATGTTGCTTTATAAAGGCAGAGCAGCAATCCAGTGTTTCCTCTAGGAATTTTTCCAGCTGTTATGTCAGGCCTAATTCCACAGGGGACAGGGGAGAGGGCATCACCCATGGGTGATTCCCATTGAACCTTACCCAAAAGTTTTATAGGCCTAATTTGTGCATCCTGTGCACAGAATGATGCGCTTGAAGCAACACTGAATCATTGCGTGCAGCGTTTCGAACTGAAAAATGCAGAAAACAAGGGGAAGATGTATTGATGCTTAGTGTATCATATCTATGCAACAGTTTATTGAGCCTTTTCTTTTAACAGTTGTAAATGTAATTTACTGTGTGCTTAAAGAACAATTCATAGTGCTCTTTACTCCAGTGTGATCTAACAGACACCCGGGAGAAAGACTCATGTTTTAGAAACAGAAATAAACTCAGTACTTTTATGAAAAAAACAAAAGACCTTTTTCTACAAGTAAAAACAGGAACATTGATCTTGGAGTGAGTTTCACCGTGTTGACTGTCATACCCGAACGTGACATGCTGTTTGGACGGCGAGTGACTGAGGAGAGATACATTTCCATTAACTTTAACTCAATGACTTAAATATTCATTAGTACCTCACATTAAGCTATTGAATGGCTCAGAAACCTTGGCATATAGTGCACAAAAACCTCATGGTGCTTTACAAATTAATGTTTTATGCATTTAGTGTGTTTAAATACATTTAAAGCCCCTAAAAGTATCCTGCATAAGTTCTACAAAAGTTTAATATCAGTAAACATGTTAAAATCCTTCAGAATAAAAAATAATCAATATTAAATTACATTTCTCAAAGAAAATGCTTAAATGGAAAGCATGAATGCAACGCTAAAGGGAGTATGCAAGGTATGAACTAAATAATGTCTTCTAAAATGCATTACTTCATCAGCACAGATTCTTGCTTTATTTTTCCCAAACATTTAACCAATATATTTGGTTGGGTGGGATGGCTAAAGATTCATCTGTAGTCTATCACGCAAGAGTGGGAGACACTGGAACAGTTCCACTTCCCACGGAGAGCAAATATCTGTAGGACTTAAAAACAAATCAGAAAATATGACTGGTTCTTGATCCACTATATTTTGCAGGGAACAAGCTAAACTTTGATCTAGGCTTTCTTAAGTATTATAACAAAACAGAAACTGGCTGATGGTGTGTAGAGATCAGACACACTTGGCAAATTTGGCATTGCAGCTGTTGCATACCAGTAGTTGTTGTTGAACAATATATCACAATACAAAAATTCAATAATGCATATCGTGGATAGTTCCCACAAAATAAAAAAATACTGTGTGAGAAAAAATTCAATTTTTACTGCTGGAGTTTTAGTGCCAGTAGTACTACATTAAACTACTATAATCTTGATTATAATGCACTGGGGGAATATGTGGGTTCTGATAATGTCAAATGTCTTATGTTACCAGTAAAAAGTGGCCGACATTATTTTAAATGTATCTAGTCAGTGAAAGAGTGCAAGAATATTCGTCTACAATAATTCTGTATTTTCAGCTTCAGAATCATGAATATTTTTATTCTGGTGTCACCATTGTCCTAGGGTTACAAGCAGCAAATCCAAATTCATTTAAATCCACAATGTAATATCAAAGTTAGCATTGTAAATTAACAGTACATTTACCATATCTTGGAGTATCGCAATAATATCGTATCGTAATTTCAGTACCGTGATATGTATCGACGTGTGACATTCATGATCTATACACCCCTTACAGGATCACATAGAAAGCTGACACTTATGCTGAAAAAAAAACATTTTAAACCAGTCTAAGCTAGTTTTCTGATCTTATAACCTGGTCAGTCATATATTAAGAGGGCGTTTGGATATTTTCAAGCTAGAAAACTAGCTGAAGAACAGTTGTATGCTATACATTTTTTAATTATTTTGTTTTAATTATTCTGATTTCTTTTGATTATTTTAATTTCTTCTATGTAAAGCACTTTGAATTGCCATTGTGTATGAAATGTGCTATATAAATAAACTTGCCTTGCCTTGCCTACATTTGTAAGTTGCTTTTATCATAAGCAACTTGCACTGCATCAAAGGTGTTGATACTTTCCTTGAAAATCAAACCCATGACCGTGCTAGTAAGTTTTTAAAAGAAACATGCAGTGCTAGCAACATAGAAAGCCCCTTTATTGAGCCACACTGGTGTTTTCATCAGTTCGTCAAATCAGAAAATCACCATCCACTCCAAAACAGAAGTCAAACCCCCAAGAGACCAGAGCAACACAAAGAATCTCAAACCAAACACGTGGACATGACAACTGTGCAACAGTATGTTCACCCTCATGAAAGCCTCCTGCTACAGCATGTGGTCTGCAACCCAAAACTAATGTGTAATAATCATGATTCAAGTCTAAAACCATCACAGCATCTAAAATGCGTCTCTCTTGACAACTCGGTTGCATACAGCTCCCTCTACATGAGCTCTATGGCGCGTGTTTGAACTCCGTGCGCACAGCACGCGTCATCAAAACACTCCAACATAAACTTTATTCTTATAGATTTTACATAAAGTCTTTAGACATGCAAGGGCACAAAGCTCCATAGACACATTTGGGACTGCATATTGGTGGAAAACAAGCAAAGAGGCAAAAGGAAGGGGTAGTTTGGAGGGATTAACGTTTATGGCACAAGTGCTCGCTAGCTCACTAAGCCTTTGCTAGGCACATTCCTCAGGAACAGATAACGTTAAGCATTTCTGTATTTTTACTCCTGGTCATGTATTTGGTATGTTGAGCATGTGTGAGCTCTCTAATAAACGGGTTCTGGTAAATATATGTAGTGAAACTCCCCAGCAGAGTCATTCGTGCCGTGTTTTGAGAGCTGCGTATGTGAGGAGAGTCGTTAGCCTCATTCATTCCTCTCACCTGCTCCTCCAGCCGCTGGATCTCTGCTTCATTCTCCCGCTCGTCCTCGGACGTGTTCTCTTCATCTTCCTCCTCGGAATGCTCAACTCCCATCCCTTCTTCTTCCTCCTCTTCCGACTCCATCTCTCGCTCCATGCCCTCAGCCTCCTCTTCGATATCTGGCAACAACGTCTGTTCTTCGTTACCAGTCTCCGCCATGTTGAGTCTTATCTGCCTGGAAACAGGGGCAGGGCTCGCGCACACAACACAAGAGCTCGCGCGAAAAACAAGGGGGCTCGTTCAACCAGAAGGCGGGGCTCGAGGGAAAAAATGGGGGCGCGTCCGGCCCCACCTACTGGAACTGGCCCCTGTCAGATGCTGTAGTTCCAACTTTCCAACTAAATTCTTTGAGGTGGATTGAGAAACTCTCTTCGTTTGTCAACATTAAATGTTTGTCACGCCTTTGTCCAATGCAGCAGACAGCGGTAATAAATTGAAATTAAAAAATATCCACATATAGTATGCATGCTTAATATAAAACATGTAATATTATTACTCATTTAAACATGCTAAATATTATATTTATAAATTATATGATTAAGTACAGGGTAAAATCGCTTCCCCCTGCTGGTTCCGTGAAAGGAAAACGCAAAGTCAAATGACATCTAGCTCCACCTCTCTAGACATCAAGGTTAGAGCTAGATAGGGCCAGTTTCACAAAGCTATTTTAGACCGGTCTATGGTGTTAGACAAGTCTAAAATTAGCTAGACTTGTCTAATGTAAGTTTAAAAAAAATAAAGTCTGACTTAATTTAGACAAAAAAAAAAAAAAATAGACACCTTAACCCCCAGGCTAACTTAAGACTCTGCTACCTTGGCAAACCAGCAGAAACAATCAGTTAGGCTACTTTAAACAAACAGCTAAACGATAAGGGAAAATGGCTCATAATTAGTGGTTTGCTGACGACGTTATGGAGACTATGAGAAGAAGGGAAAAGGTTTTTAGGGACCACATAACTTGTACCATGTTTTGTATCTTTTCTGTGCATCTTTAACGGTCGGATTAACGTTGTTAAAAGTCGGAGCAATCTCAAATGAAACATTTCTTATTGTTACTAAATTTTCCGCTAAATTTCACCAGTAAAATGCCAACAAACACATATTTTGCGCTGGGGTAAACTGCACTGTTCGGTTGGATCTGTCTGTGGGTTGGATGCGCATACTCGATCCGCCATGTTTTTGTTTTTTTTTTTGTTTGTTTGTTTTTTTAACGTGTCTTATTTTACCCAGAATGCATTGCAATGTAGTCCTAGTTAAGATAGTCGGAGTCTCTGTGCTCTGTGCAACCATAGACTGTAAAAGTGTGCAACGGTCTGATTTAGATGTCTATCTGAAATCTGTCTATCTAACAGTTACTATATCTATTCTAAGCCATAGTCAAAGTCTATCTTTTGTGAAACCGGCCCCTAGTCCAGCTCTATAATGTCAGCTCAAAATCTATAATGTAGAAATATAAAGGTTTAAATATTACTTACTTATATATTTACACAAACAAAAACATGAATATGAGCAATGCAGTGAATATGGTTGCATATGGTTGTTGAGTGCTGTGCAAAACAACAGTGAAATCAATTATAATGCAGAAATTATAGAAAGGTAAAATGTATAATATATACAGACAGTTTTAAAAATAACTTGTGTAAAATATTTCACAATTGTATAATTTGTTTTTCGGTAAAGCGCGCCCCCTGTCAGTGAGTTGCAGCATCAGTAGTCAGTCATCATGGCGTTAGCAGCAGCAGCCAAGCGCTCTGCAGCCTCTGCACTTTTCACAAGATCATTGTCATTACCAGAACTCAAATCCGCCTACTTTTATCATAAAAAGGTAAGTCTCACTTCTTGTCTTACGACTGACCATCAATTGATACTTTAACTAGGATTTATTCATTTGTAGTCCTTAATGTTTGAGGAGAACAACTTTGTTACAGCGTGTTTGCTAGCTAGGCTAGCTAATGTCAGATAACTGCGCATGTAAACAAACCAGCAGAACATTGTACGTTAAAGGTATTCAGCAGTATATTTGAGTATAGGAATCATGTCATCGGCTGTTTTATGTATTTTTGACTGAGTTAAAATTACATTCATACATATTTATTTACAGATAGTTTCATAATCCACTTGTATAACTCTCCTACAGACTCATCGGTGATGTCGTTCAGTATCTTAACTGTGCCACAGGTTAATAAGCCTGTGTATTATTAGCTTTCTAAGTACACAAAATAATTACCAATAAATATCAATAATCTGTTATTTTATGTTGTGAAGGTCACTGTCATTATCTGCCAAGGGGACTTTTTTTCTCATTTTATGTAAATTGTCATTCTCACCAGTCCTCAGATGAATTGTTTTTGATTGTTAAATATGACCAGGATGTGATCATGTATTTTTCTGAAGGTGGTGGACCATTATGAAAACCCTAGAAATGTTGGTTCCCTGGACAAGAATGCCAAGAATGTGGGCACTGGTTTGGTGGGTGCTCCTGCATGTGGGGATGTAATGAAACTACAGGTAAGACCTTTTTTCTTTTAAATTTTTAGTTATTATTTAAACATTTTAAAATATTGAATTATATAAATGTATTACATTTACATAATTGACTTGATTCTTTATTATACAGGTTCAGGTGGATGAGAATGGAAAGATAACAGATGCCAGATTCAAAACATTTGGCTGTGGCTCAGCCATTGCTTCCAGCTCACTGGCCACTGAGTGGATGAAGGGGAAATCGGTGAGTCATTGTGACTCAACATTTACAGTGTGATCAGATTATCTCATTGGGCTCCATGGTTTTTTTGTTTTGTTTTTTTTTTTCCTCAAATGTTCCTACAATTGTAATGACCACTTTTCCTTGTTCAGATTGATGAAGCCCTGAAAATCAAAAACACTGAGATTGCCAAAGAACTTTGTCTACCACCAGTCAAACTACATTGTTCCAGTAAGTGTATTTAAATGTTTTTTTTCAGCTTGCAAATATATTGATGTTATCAAAATAAAGACTCAAATGCTGTTTTTATAATTTCATTATTATTATTTTTCTGGCAGTGCTTGCAGAAGATGCAATTAAGGCTGCATTAGCAGACTACAGGCTCAAACAGAAGGACAACAAGGAGACGTTGGCAGAGGCTCGAAATTAATGTCCTAATTCACCAATGAATCACTGTTACCCACTCTTGTCGTAACTCAAAAATGGTGTCGTTTAATTTCCTGACTGAGGTTGCAATGAACATAATAGCCAGTGTAATCTATCATTACTACTATATGTGTTCTGCCTTAGCATTTATGGTTTGAAGTGGTTTGCATTGACAGACTTTGGGGATCTTTGGATTAAAGTTTGTTTTCTGTATCTTTCTGAATCACGCACATTCGCTATAAACTTTATTTCCAGAAGATACTCAAGATACGTCCCTCATACTCAAATATTATATGTATACTACTAAAATGCTTGTAAATGTATTCTCATACACTTTATAAAAAGGATAGTATGGATTTTGAAAAAAAATCTTATTAGCATTAGAATTAGCAAGAGGGTCAGTTTAGTTTTGGCAGTGATTTATAAGCAAAAAAAAGTGACACCAAAAACCAAAAGATATCTGGGCTTTGATGCTGTATTATTTCTTGTAAAAACTTAATAAAGTTCTAGATGTTAATGTTGCATCATCCATTGTTTTGCATTATTCTCTACATATTTTTCTGCACAAAAAAAAGTTGTCTGTAATACGTGTTATGAATTTGTACGAATGCCTTCTTGAACCTGTGGAAACGGAGCAACTCTCAAGTTTCGGAGCAGAATGTTCTTCAGTACCAAAAGCACTGTGAGCATCAGCAGTCCTGTAAGCACACAAAGGACAGCCAGGACAGCAATAAGCGCTGGCTCACTGGACTGTAGTATTGTCCGAGGAGTGAATTCCATGTCTCTAGTTGTGGTCATTGAACCAGTAGTAGCTGATGCTCCTGATTGCTGAACTGTTGAATTCTCCACACAACCAGGTTCCTTTTCTGTGACTGGACTGTTGGGTATCTGGGTGTGCTGAGGTCTAAAATTAGTCAAATTTAGCAAGAGGCAGTCTTCGTAGCTCAGTCTCTCTATAGTGGGCTGGTCTGACCCAAAGAAGGACCTTGATATTGTGCTCTCGGGTAGTTGTAAAGATTTTTGACATCGAAATGAACTTGTGTTGCATGCAATATCAGATCTAACCAACATCAGTACACTTGAGCTCTGATCTATTTGGCTTTCAACCACTTTTCCAGATTCTGTGGTTGTATTCACAGACGACATTCTCTCAACTGGCTTAAAAAGTTTTGGACAGATGGCCATCACCGACAGAGTTAATAGCAACTTGTGTGCAAGGTGTAAAGGAGCTGTACATACTAGATCTGATGCCATCCGTAACCTGTCCATCAGAAGCCACCTATAAAGATACATGATGTCACACTCACAAACCCACAGGTTGTTGGCTAGTTCCACGGACCGGAGACGGGACAATCCATCAAAAGCCTGCTCGGGTATAGAGCGTAAACAGTTACTGTTAATCTTTAACACTTGTAAGTTCACCAACGCACCCAACGAAGACAGATCTAGGGCAGAAATGCAGTTCGCCGACACGTCGAGGTGCGTCAGCGAAGAAGGTAAGTTAGGTGGCAGACGAGACAATCTGTTCCCCTTAAGAGTCAAGGTCCTCAGTTTGGTCAGACCTAGCAGCGCCCCTGGCTGAATCGCTCGTATCCGGTTATCCTCCAGGTCCAGGCGTGTGAGGTTCCCAAGCTGCCTTAGAGATCCAGCTGTGATGTAGGTGATCTGATTCTCTTGAAGCTGAAGGGTCTCAAGACTTGGCGGCAGCCCCCGAGGGAAACGGACCAGCTGGTTGTGGCTGAGGCTCAGTTCCTGCAGGCCCAAGTACGGCTGGAACACGTTATCCACATTGCAGAGCCGATTCCGGGCTACGGAGAGGACGGCGGTGCTCAGGGGGACAGAGCGAGGCAGAGTACGTAGACCAAGAGACTCACACAGAACCAGAGCACCAGAATGGGGACAGCAGCAGCCGTTGGGACAGGGTGACACAACCAGGCCGGCAAAGAGAGATGAACAGAGATACAACAAGAGACAGCAGAGACGACTAGGACGCATGGCTCACTTGAGGGAAGAAGATTAAGAGGGATGGATAAGAGAAAGAGAAATGAGAAGTTAGTAACTGCTTTTCTTTTACCGCAAATGAATCTGTTGAACAAACTTAATTACCATGATGGACTCTGCGGTTCCTCCAGGTTGTATTTCCTTTCATGTGCGACGCATTATCAAATGTGTTACTTAGGGATACATAGGGATGTGGTACTCACCATTGTTGCCCATTTTCTGCTGACCCCTCGCTTTCACCACTTTATCTGCTTCACGTCCTTAACCTCTTTCCTCTTGTCCCTTCCAGAGAACGGTCCGTGCTCACCCTGAAAATTCTGGGTAGCAGCCCATCAAACTTTAATGGCAGCCTTAAGGTTTTGAGTTACCGGTTTTGTATCTTCTTCTCAATGTAAATTAACTGGGCACTCCAGTTGCTTTTCCCATGACACAGCTGCACTGGGTTCGTAGAGCAGGTTTCTGTTAGGAACCATTCTGTGGACGTAATGTGTTATTTTATCATCTGCAGAGCAAAACTAGTTTAACCACAAGTAAACTGTACAGTTATGTCAACCATGGCTGGCCAAAATCATATTTAAGTCAAAATTGAATCATTTGGGAGTGATGAGAGCACATTTCAGTATCTTTTTTTAGCTCCTCATGGACAAAAAAGGGGAGAAATGGAGCTACGGCTCTTTTTAGTGGCTCAAGTTTCTCATTAAGGCTTCACTCGTATCTTTGATGTTTACTCTTTGGTGACAACATGCCAAAGTACTAACACTTGGCCTTGCGCCATGGCAGTGGGGTTTTAATTTCAGGTATGTGGCTAATTTGCATTTAGCTGGCTATTAATCAATGATAGGCTGATAGCATCACTGTAACAAAATCTGCATATCTGCATAGCTAACTGTTGTGAGCATTGTTTTTACTGAGAAATAACTTGCATGGAGGAATTCAAATTCAACTTGGATATTCTATATTGAGTATATGCATTCGGTTTCACAGATAAATCTTCAGCCTAGTGAAAAATGCATGTTTGGGCTGTTTCAACTGAATACAACTTGCACTGACATCTTAAAATATGCCAGTACCATTGTTTTGTCTCCAGAATTTTTTTTCTTCCTATAAGGCAGTTTTTATGAAAGGCAATTAAATGTCCCAATTGAACAAAGGCTCAATCCTGGCTTAATCAAAACTCTGTCTGTGGAACCAGGATATGAACATTTTCATCAAAAAGTTTTAATACAGCATAACATAAAAATAAAAAAAGTCTGCTTCTGTCACAACCAGTACATTTCCATTAAGGCCTGATATTTCCAGATCTGTCTGACAAGCCTATTGGAATAAGCTTCTGAAATATTGATTGGATCTTGTATGGATGTGACAAAAGCTCTGTAGCTGCCGCCGTTATGCTCTGCTGGGCTTCTCGAGTTTCATATGCTTCAGCCAAGCCAACACAATTCTTTTGACAAACCACACCATTCAAGACAAACAGAGAGGACAGAAGGCTGTTTGTCTGATATCTAATCTATTGAATACAATTTTATTAAATGTATATATATTTATACTTCTGGTCTCTCTATCGAAAACATATTACAGTAAGTAAGAACTGTTTTTGTTTTTTTGAAAGAAAGTAATACTTTAATTGAGCAAGGATACTTTAACTTGATCAAAAGTCACAGTAAATACATTTATAACGTTAAAAAAATGTATTGCCGTTTCCACAAAAAATGTTAAGCAGCACAACTGTTTTCAACATTGATAATAAGAAATGTGTCTTGAGCACCAAATCATCATATTAGAATGATTTTTGAAAGATCATGTGACACTGAAGACTGGAGAAATGCTAAAAATAGAGCTACATGCTAAAAATGTAGCTTTGCCATCACAGAAAAACAACCAAGTGTATTAAAATAGAATATTTAACCACAAACAGCTGTTTTAAATTATAATAATATTTCACTATATATATATATATATATATATATATATATATATATATATATATATATATATATATATATTGTATTTGTGCTCAAATGAAAGCAGCTTTGGTGAGCATAATGGATTTCTCAAACATTTATAAAATCTTACTGACCCCAAACATTTGAACAATATTGTATCTGTATCAGAAACAATGTATTTATTTGGAGCAGAGCAGGAGGGTAAGTGTTTGGAGAGTTTATTTTCCTTTTGGAAAAATCATTTAAACATACACCTGACAAAAATCAATTAGTAATTCAGAAGTTATTCAATTCAACACTGAGAAACTGAGGAAAGTTTACATAAAATAACAGTCTTGTACAAAACCTGACAACATCTTCAGAAAATACAGCATAAGTTATGGGTTACACTTACCATGCATAGATATTTCATGTGTAAAATATAAATCAAAATGAAAAAGAAAAGGTTTGAAAATACATTTTCTCAAGTCTCTCAAAACTAGTGATTCACAAAATAATTTCAAGTTTGTTTTTCATATGAATAGTAAAACTGTTAATTAGTTGTTTTTTAATTATTTTAAGCAAAATCATTTTTAAAGAAACTAAATAAGTTGAACAAACATTTTTCACTCTTCCTCTGATGAGTACATATAGAGAACACAAACCAAAGAGAATGAGGGCATCATATCTACCAAAAGATTGAAATCAAGGTCATTCCTGGCCATTAAAGAAAAAGCTCTCACGCTGGGGTGTGATTGGCCTTTCTGAGGTGGCACGTACAGACCATTGGCTGACTGGAAGTGGCGTTTGAGGTGGTTGGCTGAGGCTCCACTTTCTTCTTGGGCTCATCTTTCTGCATCTCCACCTCTTCAACATCCTCCACCTTTTGGACCTCTTTCGGCTTGGGCCGGGGGTCTTTTCCTTCCTTCTCCCCCACCAATGCTTTAGTAGGTTCTCGTAGGTTCTTCGCAGCGGTCGTCTTGCCGTCCTGGATCTGACTATGAGGTTTCTCCATTGCTTTACTAGGTTGGCTCATGTATTTCCTGGGTGAGTAGGTCTTCGGAGGATAGTATGCCTCGAGCTTGCGTTTGTGGCTCATCGCTGAAGCACAGCAGACGATGAAAATGATAACTACCAACAGAGAGGTCACGACAATGATGAGAAGCAAGTTCTCCTTCAGGAAGTCCACCACCTGGTTGAAGATGAAGTCTTTGATGCGAATGAAAGTTGCCGTTATGTTGGGAGATGGCGAAGGAGATGGGGGTACGTGGGTGGTACGAGCAACGGGGAAGATGAGTTCGGGTTCGTCCCCGCTGCCCTCCATGGAAACGTTGAACGGGGCCGGCTTGGCGAAGCACACGCTGCCCCAGAGAGCAGTCAAGAGAAGACAGACAAAGCGCAAAGAGAGTGACATGCTTCCTCAAAAGACCTGTAAGAAAATGGACACAAATGTGGCCTTTACTAGTCATTCCTAAACTTGTGCAAGTGTAAGTTGCACTTGTGTGTCAGTGCAAGTACTAGCCTTTACTAGAAAAAGGATCTGAGCATTTTTATGTTTCATCAAAGTGGTTACAACAGGGGGGGGGGGGGGTTACAGTAAGTTATACTTTGTAAAATAAAACAAAAATACATAATAATGTATAATAGCTTAAAGTAGCACTATATATATATATATATATATGGTATTAACATGTTTTTTTTAAAATACCTTATATCATGTAAATATTAATATTCAGTACCATGGTAGTAGCATAGTAACATAAGTATTATTGTTATTTGATTACATGTAACGTACAATCTGCACTCTTAAAGGGATAGTTCACTTTTTTGAAATTAATTTTTGGTATGTTTTAACTTACCTCAAGGGCATCCAAGATGCGTAGGTTTCTTTGTTTGATATTTTTAGGTCAAACCGTTCTTGTCTGTCAGTCATATAATGGAGGTATATGGGGTCCACCTCAAAGAGCATGCACAGAGATGTCCAAATTAAACATGATTTAATGACTCGTAAATGTAAGTACACATTGATGGCCTAAGACACTAAACGAGCTGTTTGTGTGAGAAAACGAACTGTATTTATATTGTTTTTACCTCTTGTAACCACAGCCACGTCCAAGTGATCTGAGGGCACGGGCGCTTCGGTCTGCGCAAGCGGCGGAAGTAATCTCTTGCATGGTTGCGAAAAAAAATTTAACGTTGTCTGTTATATCAAATTCGTCTTCCGTTGCAATTTCCTGTATATCTAAATATGTTTAGATCTTCACAGTGAAGGGTAAGACTTCTGAAATCTCTGTGTAAACAATGAGTGATGTACACACAAGAGAGATCACTTCCGGGGCTTTCCAGTGCTTGTGCAGACAGAAGCGCCCTCGCCCTCAACCATATAAAAACGATGTAATTATTGTTAGTTTTCTCACACAAACCGCTCGTTTCGTGTCTTACTTAGGCCATCAATGTGTACTTACATTTACAAGTCATTAAATCATGTTTAATTTGGGGATCTCTGTGCATGCTCTTTGAGGTGGACCCCATAGACCTCCATTATATGACAGACAGACAAGAACGGTTTGACCTAAAAATATCAAAATTGAAAATACTGTGATAAAGGCACCTACATCTTGGATGCCCTTGAGGTAAGCTAAAACATATCAAAAATTAATTTCAAAGTGAACTATCCCTTTTAAAAATAATGGTTCTTCAATGGCATCTATGGTCCCATAAAGAACTTTTAACATCCAAAGAACTTGCATTCCACAAAAGGTGGTGGCAAAGTTTCTTTAGATTTTTTAAAAATGTTTTTCACACAAATGAACAAAAAAGTTATTAAAAAAAAAAAAATCACTGATTTTTCACGGTTCTCCTAAGTCAGACATCACTGCAAAAACTCCCGTCGGAACCTTTTTTTAAAGCGTGAACATTTTTCCACCTTCAGTAAATGTAAAGAGACATCTAGATGGTCAGCAGTCTAGCTACACGCAGAGAACTACTATCGGTATTATCTAAATCTTGGGTTTTCTTTGAGTAACAGGAAGGAAGCTGCATGTATCAAACTACACAAAGCACATTTTCGTGTTTCTGTTTCTTCGCAGGAGAGGAGCTATTCCTGTTATATCCAGTCATTACTTATTTGGGGTGGAGGCAGAGGGAGTCCAGGCCTAGTTTGTAATTTCCCTGCCTGGCTGATGCCACCCACTCACCACAGAAAAGCAAAAGCAAGGCCAGATATATATTTGTGAGGGTGCAGCAAGGAGTGGGACAGCCGCAGCTCACAGGCCTGTATTTACAGCCCAGCTGCAATGAGACAGGCCAGAGACCAGTGAGACTATTTCTGCTCTGCGCAAGAACATATAATGTTCATACGTGCGTCATGTTTCAGAAACACTGTATATTATAGGCAGAATTTATTACATTTTTCATATTAGTTTGTCAGAAAGAGAAGCCATTTTAACCACTACACTTTTAAGTTGCTCTTAGAAGGCAAGAACAGGGAATAGGGAAATTCCCAAATGAACACCACCAAAAATGGCAGTGGAAAAAACAACAACATATTGAGTATGATCTAATAGTCATCTATTAAAAACTTTTACTTCTTTAAAACTTAAAATAAAACATTTCCCCTTCAGTGCCAACCACACTGACTAACTCTCTGACAACATTCTGCAAATAAGGTATTACACTCCAATATCTCAGCAGTGTGTAACAAGAATGTTACTGTAATCAAGAATAAGTATCTAAATAGAATATGTGGTATCTTTTGCATAGACCACAGCAAAAACCAAATACAAAAATCAATATGAGAATGAATTAAGAAAAATAGCATTTCAGATTAAAAAAATAATGTATTGATTTTTGAAAATCAGATTGTTAAATATTGGCCTTTGCTAGCACAGCATTAGACAACATGAGAAACTTTATTTTATGTAAAGGGTAAATGAAGGTCAATAGAAAATGTAACAAAGGGGTAAAAAAGTAAACACTCAAGACACAAAATATCATCATCGAACCATCACAGGTTATATATAGTTAATGTGATGAATTACGTTAGTTAACACATGACTGGGTTATAGAATTAGCAAAAAGATGGTTCTAATAATCTTGCAGATTTTATATTTTGTATTTAAAACATACACATTCTTATACACTTTTTGATGCTACGATATTAGGAAAATATTAAGCTCATAATTAAAAAGCATTTTTGAGTGACACTGACATTGTAGTGTGCCAACAAATGAATTATGAATAATGTGCAAGATATCCTGTCAGTGAAGGAAATATAAAAATACTCACTGCTCGTCTTACTTCCGTTCTCTGATCCAATTTTACAGCGACACCTCAAGTTAGGCACTTGAAGGTAGGCAAAATTAATAAAGACAACAGTTGTAAAGGAAAAAGCTGCCTCTGTGTTGTCCTCAAATGCTTATGGGAGCTTCTGGCCATGTGGGTTTTCCTAAAAAAAAAAAAGATAATTGCACAAAGACATTCCCCTCCTCTCTCTCCATCTCCTCCCTTTTTCTGTCCTTCTCTTTCTCTCCTCTTGAACACATGGAAACATTTTAACATTTTATCACTGTATTCTTTCACAGTTTTATTTTTACCTGCTCAGCCTTTGATTGGTCAAAAACAGACTCAATTTGCTTTGTTAATTCAGTACAATTATTAGTGCATACTTTTCCAAATATTTTTTTTAGCTTCACAATCTTTGCTCCTTTTCAGAACCTTTTATCCAAATGTTGTTAATAATAACAATGTTCTGGTCAAATCTGGTATGTACACTGTAAAAAATTATCATGTAAAAAAAAAAAACGGTAAACCACTGGCAGCCGTGGTTTCCAGCATCATACTGTAACTATACGGTGTGTTACTGTTTTTGTGTTCGAGCATATCACTGATAAATTCAAGTTTTATACTATAGCTGACAATACGGTATTTAGCTGCTAATTTCAAAAACAGTAACACACCGTATTTTTACATTATGATGCTGGCAACCACAGCTGCCAGTAGTTTACAGGTTTTTTTTTACAGGATTATTTGCCCAATTTTCACTGCCCAATCTATTCCCAATGAACAGAATCAAGAAATTACTGTACATCACATTGTGGAAGTAAAATGGGTTGGATACAACAATTTACACTGACTTTAAAGTTGATTTAACATTTATTAAACTAGTTGGGTATACCATACCCATACCAACTTTATTTGTTTAACACTTCACAACAACCAAAGTTGACCATAGTGCTGTACAGAAAACATAAATGTACAATTAATAACCCTACATTCATTAATAACAAAAATTTTATGAAGTCGACATCTTGCTAGGTGTCAAAAGCCAAAGAGAAATGATGGGTTTTAAGAAGGGTTTTTAAAACAGGTAAAGAAGAGGCCTGCTTAACATGGGTATAATTGGGTTAACAGTGCACAATGACTTTCATGTCATTTTGCACAACATTCATCAGTTAGGTGCTTTAACGCATTCATACTAGCGTCGACAAAGTATAGAATGTAAATAGAACATATAATTAGCTATACCGCATAAAATATATACAAAAGTACCACAATATAAAACCAAAGAAATTAAAGGTGAAAACAGAAGAAAAAAAAAAACTGTTGCTTTTCTCATTGCTAATCTTTAATTGACACGATGGAAAGTGTGTAACTTCAGCACAAGAGCAAAACATTTTTGGGAACTTGTGAAAGCATATATTTTATGTAAATTTGCAATGATAACATGTTATATTCAGACTGTGATAATCTCCAAAATCACGCTGTTCAAGAAAATTATACAGCGCTGGTTGAACCACAGGCAGGAATAGAATACATTCAGCAGTATGTCCTGCCAAACCTCACTAATGCCTGAGCTCCTCGGAGAAAGTAGCATTTCTGGAATGATTACATTAAAAGATTCAAACATGCAAAAACAATTAAAATATAAATGTTCCACTGATTAAATAAAAGATAAAAAAAAAACTTAAGACATGCATACATTTATATATACTCTTAGAATAAAAAAAAAAATCCCTTTTTTAAAATCCATACAAGTACAGTATGAAAGACGGCTATAGTTAAAGGGGTAGTTCACTTTTAAAAAAAACTTTTGCTGATAATTTACTCACCCCCATGTCAGCAAGATGTCCATGTCCAAAAGAAATTAAGGTTTTTGATGAAAACATTTTAGGAATTTCTCCATATGATGGACTTCATTGGGAACCAAATGGTTCAAGATCCAAATGAGAGTTTCAGTGCAGCTTCAAAGGGCTTTAAATGACACCAGGCAATGAATAAGGGTCTAATCTAGTGAAACGATCGGTCATTTAAAAAATAAACAAAAAAGTTTAAGTTTTATAAGCATGTTCGCCTTGCTGAACTCTTCTGTTTGAGCTCATTAATCAAAACGAACAAATCTTTTTTCGAGTCATTTCATTCGTTGAATGAACAAATTGACTCGAAAACATTCGTTCATTTTGATGAAAGAGTTCGAACAGGAGAGTCACAAACATGCATCACAGAACATTTGTGCTTATAAAACTTATTTATTTTTGAAATGACTTATCGTTTCGCTAGATAAGACCCGTATTCATCGTCTGGTGTCGTTTAAAGCCCTTTGAAGCTGCACTGAAACTCTCATTTGGACCTTGAACCGTTTGGTTCCCATTGAAGTCCATTATACAGAGAAAAATCCTGGAATGTTTTCATCAAAAACCTTAATTTCTTTTCAACTGAAGAAAGAAAGACATGGACATCTTGGATGACATGGGGGTGAGTAAATTATTAGCAAAAGTTTTTTTTTTTAAAAAAAAGTGAACTACTCCTTTAATCCCAAAATATAAAAAAGCACAACCAATCTAGATCATGCTAGAAAACATGCTATTTACATCAAATGGTTGTTTCGAAAGGCACTTCAAAGCCAGTGAAGACAACCAGTAGCACAGATATGCTGTGACATAACTTGATTTTTTTGACAGTGCAAACAATTCTAGAGCTGGGTTTCTGTCAAACCTGAGCACTGACTTAAAACCAGTGTTAGAGTAAACATTTCCACACAGTGCACACAGCAGGTGAAAGGTTTAAACTTCTAAAGAGGGCCCTCAGTATCAGGAAGAAAGCTGTTTAGAGTAAGATTATCTCCGTCAGGATCTCCATCCTCAATGTTCGGGATCAGTGCTCCATTACTTTTGGGGTGTCGCCTTGGCTTTGGAACAGGGTGCTCTGTATCATTCATAAGGGCAGAAATGCAAACCATCTCAGTCTCCTGGAGAAGATGCGCCTTGTGCCTGTATTTGTATCCCGAAAGTTTTGTAGCCAGACAGATGGTGCTGACGATAAAGATGGTCGTGAAGGCAGCCATCGCGGCAATGGCAATGAGGCACCGACTCACAAGTCTGTCATCTTGGGAAGAGGCAGAGGAACACGAGTGGGTCGTTACCGTGGTTGATTTTCTAGTGGCCATTGAGATAACAGCTGTGGTACGTCTATCCGTATCTGTGGACGTTCTCGCTGTCGTTTGCTTCTCTGTTACCTTGCCTGGCTCAAGCGATGCAGGAAATGTGGGGGCAGAACTTCCTGCTTGTGAAATGTGTCCATGACTATTACTTATTGTGGGAAGTTGGGTGTACAAAGTACTCTCGTTATCTGATGTCTGGTAGACTGTCAGGTTCTCAGTTCCTGCAGAGTACTTCTGTTGGGTGTGGTTCGAATCTGGAGTACCACGGTAATCTGTAGTTGCAGAGACATTTAAAGCCAATGGACCAAGAGTCGTGCTACTTGTATTCTCAGCTTCAGCTACACCTGTTGTACTGTGTGTGACGCTACTGTTTATCGATGTTGTGTTGTGACCAGTTTCCCTTTTCATCCTAAGATATCTTGATGTAACCAAACTACTCAAAGTCAGCAGCAAAACAAGAACTGGTAAACACCCAAGTCTGTTAGTCACCATCGCCATCTGCACACACAAAAAAAAAAAGACAGAATGTTGCAATAATTCTTTTGACACAAAATATAAAAAAAATTCACAAGCATACTCGTATATTGGTAATTCCTCTTCAGACATTAAGCTTATTCAGTGGAGAGGAGGAGAACAAAACAATATTGGAAGAACAGGTTGTCGTAACATTTAAACATGTTGCTCATACTTTTGCAAGCTCATGTGGCTGTTTGTGACTCTAGCATGTGGTTGGACCATTTGGCTGAAATACTTCCTTTTAACTGTTAAGTGTAATTGTTGTATTCTTAACAACACTTTACAACTCGACTTTAAATATATTACAATTACTGTCATGGTAAAACTTTAACAATTTTCTTGTCGATATTCACCTACTCTCCACAGTTTGAAAAAATAAATAAACCACAAATTCATATAAAAATAGCATCTTATTTTAAAGACAAAGCAAATTGACAACAAAACTACGTACCATCGGTTTCTACTCCCGAAAGGATCTTGATCTGCAGTTCGATTGAAAAATCAGCTCCCCTCACACACTCAAAATGCAGGCTCAAACCTACTCAATGCACAAATACAGGAAGTCAAACCTCATGAAGCGTTAGGCTAAAGCTGGTTCAAAAACTCTGACGCAAACACGAATGAGCAAGAGATACTTAAATATCACATCTCAGTTCCTAAAACAGTAAGGTACAACTTTTAACCAACCAACCAACCTTGCTTCCACAAAGAGAGGTTTTATAATTAGAGAAAAAAAAGAGAGAGACAAATGCCAAAATTTCTGTTTATTTCTTTTTTTATTTTCCTGGTAAGACTCTTTATACTTAAAGCAGATGAATGAACAAAAATGGAAGAGTTATGCACAGAATTGAATTTCTAGATATCCTTCCTTTCGAATTTTATCATTGGACAGATAAAAGGCTCACAGTGTGCATGTTAAGGATGGGGCAAAACGGGGGGATTCCTTAAAATCATCAAACTCCAAATGATGGACAAACACCCTCAAGAAACAGCCAAAGAAAATAAAGGAAAATGAAAACTAAAAACATTTATTTACAAAGCATCGAAATCAATCACTACCATCCAGTTTTCTTCCTGCATTCTTTTTTAACCTACTTAAATCCCTTTTCACTTTATTCATTCGCTCCTTAGAAACCACACACTCGACGGTGCATCACAGATGCCTCCTGAGGCCACTTAAACACTCAATATGGATTCATCACACATCCTGAAGTTGATCAAGCTTGGCACATCCGTACCCACACGGTCCCTACGTTTTCAAACCTTTCACTTTAAAACCTCACCCAAAAGAGAGAGAGAGCAAGAAGAGCAAATGCAAATGACAGAGGTATTGAGATCTGAAGACTCGTTTGAAATGAACAACTTGTACTCTGTTGGTTCTGAGGAGAGGTGGAGGCTATTTTAGACTAAAAAGCATGTGCAGAAGGAAAGGTGCTTTTTCGAACCAAGAAAGAGGCACTAGGGAGTGATACAGAAATGAGATCTGTCGAAGCGTCAACATGAAAACCACAAGAGAACATTCTGACGTAGGATGTAGCCGAATCACAGTTTCCTCTCTTGCAATGAAAAAAATGCATAACCAAACTAAAAAAGAAAATGTCATCACCTCAACCTTGTGGCACACGTAATTCAGCCGTAAAAAAAAGGACCATCTATAGACGTGAACCGCCCCTTGAGAGAATTGGTTCTGCTTGGCTAGGAGAGCGCTGTAGACATCTTTACATAGACATAGCTTGTCGCAAGTTGACATTAGGAAAAGGAAGTCAGTCATGACACATTTTGCTGGTCGTCACGGTCTATAATGCACAGCAAACACATGTACAGACAGACAAAGCTGTTGAACTGAAAGTTTGGTTTCTGAGATGGTATGGACGACACAACTGAAGATGAGATTTGAAGGAAATTAGAAAGCAAAGCAAACCTAACCGTTTCTTAGACCTGAACAATGCCTGACTGGAACAAAGTCAGAGTAAAAGCGATCAAGCCGGTACACAAGATTTGCTGCTAAAGCTAATGCTATTCTGAGCTCATATCCTCATGTTTTGCTTGCATTTACCATTATGATGGACAACTGCTGCCATCAAGAAAGTGTTTGGAGTTGTGAGAAGAGTACACAATAACTGTGTTCATAGCAACCACCAGAACCAGAATTATTTCGCTTATTTTCCTAGTTACTATTTTTATACATACATGGGTACCTGAATAACAAAGAAACATCTTTAGTGGAATATTTTAGAGCACCTGTATTTGTTTTCCAGTAATGTTTTGTAAACTTTTCCCAATTTTCAACTTTTACATGTTTGCCAGGTTGATTAAAATCTTTATTTTTTTCTTTAGAAAGACACCTAGAACATTGACAAATGGTTCCAGTGATTTCCTCTCCTTGCATTACTAGCATATTGCTTTGTCCCTTATAAGTACTGATAGAAAAGCTAGTCAAATACTGTCAGGGAGGTGAATAACTCCTCTATAAATTTGGCAACTCAGAAGGGCGAGAGAGGAACTGCAATAGTGAAGCTTCAAACCTTGAGCTCATCAAGTTTATGTAACTGCTTCATAATGCAATTTTCTTGGTCACAATTTTTAATAAGAAAAACAAAACAAAAACTTAAGACCATTCAAGAAAACCAGATAAAACACAGCCTTTGCAGAAAGAATTGGAGTGAGATTTGGAGTAAAAGCTAAACGGGTCAAATTTTGAAATAACGTTTGTAAGTTTGCCAAATGGCTATGAGGTGTAAACAGGTTTTTGGGAATGCAAAAGGAATAATTGATCATCTTGGAATGTTGGTTGGAGTCTTTGCAAGGCAGGTTTCAGACGGAACACTGTCATGATGATTGGCAGTGACGGGTCCCGCCCACCTGGCCAATGGGATATCCTGAATAGAAGGGGAGGGGATTGCAGGGCCCCTTTAGATGTCCATTTTAGACAACTGCTCCTCAAGTTTGGCAATTCTTTTTTCCTGACTGCTGACAAGCTCTCTGAGAGATTTCATTTCTTTCAAAACCTCGTCCAGCTTAGCTTCACTTTTCTGTTGAGGAAGAAAAAAAGGGAAAGACAAAATGTTAAGAACAATTGTCTAAATTAAATATTCAAATAATAATAAAAACCTTATTGTTTTGTGCCAATATACACTGCCCTGACCAAAAAAAAAGAAAAAAGGCACACTAATATTTTGTTGGATCACACTTAACTTTGATTACAGCATGTATTCACCATGGCATTGTTTCGATAAACCTTTGCAAATGTCAACTTTTATTTCAGTCCAGTGTTTTGAGGATGGCAGAGGCGAACGACAGCGACAGCGTAACGTCTTCTCCAGCACATTCCAAAGATTTTCAACTGGGTATAAAGACCGGGACTCCATGTGTTGATGAAAATGATGTCTCATGCTCCTTTCAATCCATTGATGGGAAAGCCTGGTCATCCACTATATTCATTTTAGAGCCACACAATGTTGCTGAACCTATGCCTGACCAGGTGAAGCAACCCCAGATCATAATAACACTACCTTCACAAACTTGTACAGTAGGGACTAAGCATGATGGCTTCATTCGCCTTCCCAGATGCGCCCATGGAACAGGGTCAATCTGGACTTTTTCTCCATAGCTCCAGAGTCCAATATTTATGCTTTCTAGCGAACTACATCATGATTGATCTGCAACTGGAGCTGACGCACTACAGGATTTGACAACAACTCTGTCACCCAACGATTCAATCTCATCTACTGTACAAGCGTTCGCAGGGATACGGCCCTGATCTTAATGTCCTCAACAGTAAAGTCTAGAATTAATAAAGAAAATGCATTATTCATTAATTCTCAGTTATGCACCCCCACTAATTCTTTTGTTTTAATTCTCAGACTAAACTAAAACTAAATATGACAATTAAATCCTTTCAAACTAAATATGACAATTAAATCCTTGAACTGAATATCCTCTTACTTCACAATATAATATATCACAACAAACAGAATTACAGTAAGATTTAATGTACATTTCCAATAACATTTTGCTCACTGTTTGAGGGCGTTTGTGATTTCTGTCCATCTTTTCTCTTTCTGGATGCGGTTGTGGTACATCTCATGTCCAACATCATAAAGGCATTCATGCTCCTGCCACAGTTCGATTCAATTTTGATCTAAATCTTGAGTCCATTGCTTTCTTGACATGTTGCTGATCTTTCTGCAAACTCCTATTGGACGTGTTTGTTCGAAAATCGCGCATTTCGCGTATTTACCCGGTGACCTCAACCCATACCTTGCTCTGATTGGCTCTAGCTCATGACATCACTGAGATTGAGTCGCGCGACAGCTCTGGATATCTAGCATGCTAGATATTTTTCTGAGCTCGGTGACCTGTCTGCGAGGTGTCTGCGAGGTGTCTGCGAGCTGTCTTTGATGCGTTGTTGGCTCTTTCATACTAACAGATTGGCGAGCGTTAATCGTCCGCTAATCGCCCGCGATTTGCACGCGATAACACCCTGACTTGTCGGTGACTCAACGATTTGCAAATCGGGCTTAAAATCATGTAGTGTGAACTAGGCTTTAGACAGTAGCCGTGAGTTCTACAGTCGATTTTCTATTATTTGACTTCATAAAACATTTACGTGATCACAGCCATTCAAGATTGTTTTCTGACTACACTTTTTCCACTGTGATGATGGTTCAACACAATCCTTCCAGGTTTTAATACCATACTGGACATTTCTTAATCCAATTTGAGTAATTTCAGAAATCTCCTTAGTTGTTTGGTTTGCTTGGTGCAGGCCAATAATTTGACCCTTCTGAAACGTGGTGAAATGCTGCCAGCTGAAACAATCATGGCAGGATTTATCCAATCAAAGGCTCTTGCCTATTTGCTCAGTTAAATTCCAGGAGGAAACTTTTTTTAGGCAGGGCAGTGTTTATGAGCTATGACTTTAATAACAAATGGGTACCACAATGATAACCACCCAAGTTTTCCAATTGTGCCATCTAAAATAAGTTCTTATTAAAACCACTTAAGCTTGAAATCAGCTGCCATATAAACCTATTTTGTATTTAACATCAGTTTTCATTAAAAAAAAAAAATCTAAAAAAATTGCAGTAGCAAAACACAGGTTAATTGTTGACTGTTTTTCATAAATCATTGGACAAATCAATGGCCTATATGCTAGTGTTATCAGGGTTCCCACAATTTCAAAATTCAAGGACCTCTCAAGAACTTTCCAGGTCCAAATTCAAGGACTTAAAGTGGGAACACATCTATTGTGTCCAACAACAAACGTTGAGGTACCATTGTAGTAGTTTCGTGCGCGCGTGAACGTCATAGCAACGTACAACACAAAAGTACCTCACGCGGGAAACAATTAATTAAGTAACGCGTAAATGCATGTAACTACCGTAAATCAAGCAAGATAGTGTACATAAGCCACGAAGTGTTGGCGAAATAAAACACATTAGTGGACCGGAAGGGAATAATATGGATTTTTTCCCAAGAAAATTTCACATTGTGACATGTCATGGAGGTTTGAAGAAGTAAGGCATTTTTGGCAGGTCTGGATCAGTGTCCAGTGTCTCCATTAGTTAAAATAAATGCCTTTGTGGGAAACTATGTAACTCTGCAGATCTTACACAAGCATAAACAGATCCATTACACACTAAAGGAAAAGGAAAACATTACAAAGCATCGTATGACCCCTTTAATATTTTGAATTAGCATTTAATTGGACCTTTTCCTCTTGTCATTTTTTATATTTCTATTCAGCTTTATTTCAATTAACAAATACTACTTTTAATAGTTAACAATACCAACGCTGCCATAAGCAAATAATTAAAACTGAGATGTAGTCAGATAATCATTAGGTGTGATGAATAGCAGCTAACATTGGTGAGTTTGTAGGGTAGAGCACTGGCTCCTATGATTACAGCCATGAGCACAGAGAGCTGGGTTTAGAGGGCAGGACACACATGTGGTGATGCTGTCATGTGGTTAAAGGCATGTGGTTGGGGGTTGGTTCTGCTGTAGAACATCCTTAAAACTATAAAAACACTATATGCAAGCCAAAAAGGGAAGTTGGCCTTGAACTGTACAATAATTTAGCTGCATGTAGGTCACAACTGCAGGACAGTGCAAATTACAGCCCAACTTAAGAAATTGTGTTTTTATATATTTTTCAATGAATTTAGTGCAGAGAATGGAAACTGTGTGTAAAAATTGAGAGTAAAAAATACCAGTTGACGATAAACTGAACAGGAATAAGTAAATCAGTAAATGAGTCCCACTCACGATAGATGGCGTGGAGGTGGCAGTCTTGGTGGCAGGGGCGGTATTCTCTGTATTCTTGCTCATCTTGTTGTCTAAGATGTTCTTCTTGACCACTTTGAGATCGCGGTTCTTGCCTGGGACGTATCCATTTTTCAGGGATATCGGGATAGGGTCTCCGTTCTTCCCTTCAAACCAATCCTCGGCCTCCAGGGCGGCCTCTGGACCTGCAGTGTCAGGGTAAAGGTCATCCTGGAACAAGTCCGACTGATGGAAGGAAGAGTCTTATTAGATGTTAGGATATCCAGGATATGAATCATGCAAACTATTGGAATATAAACAACTGGGATGCAGATACAGAGTTCAGTTGCTTGGTTGGTGTGACTATGAAAGCTGTTTTCTGAATGGATGGCTCTTGATCAATCTTTGGTCACGGCACTGAAAATGTTGGCCATGTATTTTTTAGATTAAAAAAAAAAAAAAACAACAACATTTCATGCACTATATAGTCCACCATTCAAAAGTTTGGGGTCAGTAAGAATTTTATTTGTGTGTGAAAACGTAATAAGTTTAAGGAGCAAATAAATACAGTGTTTATTAACTTCTATTTATCAAATTATTAATGGCTGCTGAATATTCAGCTTATTTTACACAATAAACAAATTATTTCCAGTGAATATTAAAATACATTGCTAAAAGATTTATTGTATAACTAAAAAATTAAAATTAAAAGCAAAGGGACTGTTTTTGACACGACTCCGTCAGCATTGTTGCCTAGGTCCAGTGGTAAACAGCGGTCACCATTACTCATGAGCTGTGTTCAAATTGCCCCCTATACCCTCATTCACTATTTCCTACATTAGTCCACTTAACTAATATAGTCCAGTTGAAGGAGTGAATGAAAACGAGTGAGTGAATTTGGACAGTGTGCCGATGTCCTATATAATATTACGCTGTCCCCACATTGCACCATCGGTTTGAAAACTGGATGGATGGATTCAGCAACGGGTGCCATCTTCTGGTGAGACGCTGGAATTCATTCAGCACAATCCTTACAGTGCATTATGGGTATCATCTAGCCGTTGAGTGTACATTCATTGTACACTCGTTATTGTGATGCATTATGGGATTGAATGAGTGCACTCGATAACGTCCACCATGGTATCCCTTCAAATTGTACCCTATTTAAGGGTAAAGGAGGCGATTTCGGACACAGCTAAAGTAGTACATGTTGATGGTGTAAAACCATCATAACCATTATAACGTGAAGAAAGACTTGCAGTGGTGGAGTGGTACTAAATAAATCAAACCCAATGTGAAAACAGGTGTCAAAATAGGAGGAAGTTGCTGTACTCTTAAAAACAAAATAGTAAAACCAATCAAAAAGGCTCACTTTTCTTGGCACGGTCATGATGATAGGCTCACACTTTCTCTCATGCAGTTTGTAAAACCTGAGAACACACAAGCACACAAGTCACACATGCTGTTAGAGCATATTCAGAAAGGTAGCAGATGTTAGTGCATGACTCATTTGTCATTATTCAAAACATAATGGATAAACGAGTGGGACAAAAATAACACACCATTGAGAGCATTAGATACCAGCAAACCTGAACCTCTATTCATTAAACACTGAACCTAAATTTCATAAATCTTAATCTGAAGGATCCAGCAGGGTCTAATGCTGCCCTCTTCTGGGTGGATTGGGTCAGCAGTTTATAAAAAAAAAAAAGAAAGAAAAAAGTATAAACTAGACTAAATAAAAAAAAAAAAAACAGAAAACGAAAAAGAAACATTTAGGTCCTATTTCACTCTAAACCAAAAAGGAATTCAAGATACATATAAATAAAAATATACACGTTTTCTTTGTTCATTTGCATCACATTAAGACATTACGACATTAAAACTGATTTTCATCTCTTTTTCTTGAATTTCGCTATTTTAAAGGTTCATAGTTTAGTTTTGGAGGTCTCCTAACAAAGGTTTACATGCACCCAAAGTCAATAAACACTTTAATTTTCTCATCACACACACTGCACAACACCTCATTTCTCAAAGAGTCTGAAAACAGTTTGTTCAAAGATTCAATCTGATTGGTCAGATATCACAGTCTGTTTTGATTGTGTCTGAAACAAAACACCCCTTACCACCTGAATTTCAGTCTGGCATGTACATTTGTTACATTGTCATGCAAGTTTGTAACAGGAAGTGAGACTGGAATTACTGATTCCTCATTTCAGCAGTTCAGAATCGATTCTTTCTTTTAGGACACAACAACCTTTTTTGTTGTGCAGTTTGATCTTCAAAACTATGCAGAACTTTTACTTTCAAAAAAGGTATGTTACAGACTGCATGAAAAGTAATATTCAATAAAGTATAATGGGGCACTTTAATTTTTTTTTTACAGCAATATATCAGTAAAACAAATGCAATGTGAAAATGTTATATGGTTATAAAATTAGGATAAAATAAGAATATATTTTATTCCTTTAAGTTTTGATTTTGGGGTGAAATAGGACATGGTCATATTACTGACGCATTGCATTAGATTTCCCACATACTTTCATTAGCTTGTATAATAATTGTTGCTATACCTTGCGATCTCACACTTGTTGACGTCCAGCCCTCTCTTGGGCATGTATCCCATGCCCCTCTGAGGCTCCTTAGTGGTAAAGGTGCTGAGGTAATGGACAAAGGGAGCTTCATCCGTGATCTCAAAGTAACGGATGCTGCTGTCACCCTATTAGAAACAAATCCACAGTCAGAGACTAAAAACTAGGGATGCACCGAAATGAAAATTCTGGGCTGAGGCCCGAGACCAAAAATTCTGGATGCACTTGGCGGAAAACCAAAACTGACTTTTAATTTCTTATTTTAAATTAGCTTTTTTTTTTGTCTTAATATTATTTTTTTTAATTAATTCAATACCTTTATTGAATCTAAATGTAAAAAAAAAACAGCCAATAAAATAAAATAACACACTTTTAATGAAATTACCACCAAAGTTGGACAGAAAATATATTTATTCCAATTTAAAATAATTTTCTATTTTAATATATTTTAAAATTAAATTCATGTATTGACAAGTTTTGACAAGTTTTCAGTACCATTACTCCAGTCTTCTGTCACATGATCCTTCAGAAATCATTCTAATATGCTAATTTGATGATAATAATAATAATGAGAAGAAGAAATGTTGGAGCAGCAATGTTGAAGACAGTTGTGACAGTAAATATTTGTGCTGAAAAAATGATATTTTTCCTGGATTCTTTGATAATCGCAAGTTGAAAATCACAGCATTTACTTGAAACAGAAATCCTTCGTAACATTATAAATGTCTATGTTGTCACTTTTGATCAATTTAATGCATCCTTGCTGAACAAAAGTATTCCTTTTAAAAAATAAAAAACCTGACATTCCCCAAACTTTTAAATGGTACTGTATATGCTGTGTTTACCTTTCCACACAGGTAGACCACATTAGTATCGGGATCATAGAAGGGCAGGAGGACTCCGTTACTGGTGTCCATCTCATGGACAGAGATCGGCTCATCAATATTGTCCTGAAAGACAAAAAGAGACGATTTAAAATCTATAATTACATTAAAAAGGAACATTATAGGTCACTTGTGTCAGAAACTGCAACTAAAATTTAATTTTCTTGTTCAGAAAGCATAATCGGAATAAGTTAAGGCTGGAATACACTGGAAAAGACTTTTGCACAGATTGCTGCCCTGATTTACAGTCTGGACAAGTTCTAGCCGAAGGTCAGAGCCAGTCTGCAGATTTGACAGATTTCACAGAAACTCCTGTACTGCATGATGATCACAGACTCTGATTTTTTTTTTTTATGCTTCAATGTTTGATTCCATCCAGTAGTAGGATATCAAACACGTTTGATATTTTGAGCAGATTTTTGAAAACATTGTTTTAATCGGTCATGCGTCTCCTAGCAAAAAGGCACGTGTTTGTGTGAGTTTGTTTAGTTTGTGATGACTTGAAAGTTTGGTGGTGTGTGATCCACAGTTGCCCAGTTTTTTTCTCTGTAACCATTAACAAATTCAGCAAGTGTATGATGCCTGTTCAGATGTTAAAAGTTGTGTAGTGTTTTCCAGCCATTCTGAAGTGCATTGCGTTTATTTATGAGCAGGTGTTAAATTGAAATTTGCCTGCGGTTTCCATGGCAACTTACCGGATCCCAGAGGGCGAGCTGTCTCTCGCTCATGCGGCTAAAACCAGTGGTGAACACTTTTCCATCAGACAGGAAAATAGCTCTCATGGGCCTGGCACCCTCATGGGCCTTGTCCTTCTCCTGTCAGCGACACACACCATAATACATCACAACACTGCTCACACATTCTTTCAAACCTGAGCAGCCAAATACTTTTCGGATCAAGTAAACGCATGAAAATCCAGCGCTTCAACTGACAAAAACCTTTCAGTCCATGTAATTCACAAACTTTTATCTGAACAGCCACTAACTTACCGCAATGATCTCCTCCTTGCGCGGGTCGATGACACGGATTTTCTTGTCCTTGCAGGCAGTGCAGATGAGACTGCCATTGCGGTTCCAGCAGGCGCTGAAGATGATGTCAGGGTGCATATCCTCCAGGGTGATCATGGACTCTCCCGTGCCCACATTCCAGATGAAAATCACATTATCACAGCCTGCAGACAAACACGGGAGAATGGGGAAATAGTCTTGTTTGAATGCTGAAGAATCTATTTATTAGAAAAAAAGCTGGATTGTTTTTTTCCATTTAAAGGCAGGGTAGGTGATTTGTTCCAGAAACATTTTTTGTTATGCTGGTTGACATCCTGATCAATAAGTTGAGTGAGCTAAAAGTGGATCTGTTCAAAATGTTTTAGACAGATGAACCCGAAGCCGAATTTGTCGTTTGGTCGAACAAGATGTGATGGAAACTTGCTCTTCTAGTAAAAAAAAAAAAAAAAACTCTGAATTTTTCATTGCATGAAAAGAAGGCTTTGACCGAGTTAATAAATGACCCGAACATTATCATAAATCCTGTGGATAAGGGAGGGGCGATCGTCGTTCAAGATACGAGTAAATATCAACAAGAAATTCTTTCACAAATACAGAATACAAAGTTACTTCCCAATGATCCCACCAATATTTATCGATCTGAGATACTGGCCTTTTTATCAAATGCTAAAACATTTGGTTGGATATCCCAATCGGAGTTTAATTCCTTGTATTGTCAACACCTGATTACACCTATTTTTTTGTTTGCTCCCTGCTGTGCACGTTCATGTGTTTTAAAGGAGGCGTGGCTTTGAAGACGCTTTGAAGTTTTCAAATTTAGCTTGCTTTTGCTAGCCTCTCCTCTGGCTAGCTCGGTTTCTATCGATAGAGTCTGCTTGCTGGTTCAGGTGACGCTTCTTACCTGCGCTGAGGAGGATGTTGCGAGCGGTTGGATGCCAGGTAATGATTCCCACTCTTTTAGAATGACCCTCCAGCACCACCACTGGCTCGGACAAGGATGTCACCAAACCATTCTCTGGGATCTGCCACACCTGAGAACAAACAAACAAAGAAAAATATTTTTATCCAACATCTCACAAATGCAAAGATACTTGACGGTGAAGTAAATCAAACCAGTTTTCGTTAACTAAAACCATTACAAAAATTGCTTTTGGTAATTCAAATGAAGCTGAAATTAAATATATATATATATATAGTACAAAAATATTAGATGATAAATTTAAATGTAAATTAGAAATCCTAACTAACTTAAAACAAAGGTTTAAATTAAAGTCCTAACTACTAAAACAAAACCAGCTGAACAGAAATATATATAAAAAAGAAACTGAAAATTAGACAATAAATGCCAATTCAAAATATTCATAAATACCAAATAGTATAAAAATAGCACAAAAATAACACCAAATCAAACATTATGATCCAAAACCTGATAAAGCCATTTTGTATAACTTCTACAATTACATTAACATGTCTGAAGATGGCAGCAGAGGGCAAATAAATGAGTCCTGGAGAGTTTTATCAATTTAAACAAGGATTAAAAGTATTACCTTTTAACTTTATTATGACAGAAATAGTAATATATGATTTTGAAGCCTCTCTCTTTAACGTCCCTTTTATCTCCCTCTACATATTCCTAATTCTCAGCATTTATTAAACAGCTATCTTACATTTTATGATGATTAGAAAAAAAAACTGCAACATTTTACATTTAAATATTTCAGTATATCGACCTCTTAATTGTGTAATAATAGACTGGATGAGTATACATTATTCTTTTACATAGATAGGAGACACTGCTAATCCTGTTCAATGTCATTATCATCAACATTACCATCCCCTAAAAACATAGTCAGTCACTAAAAAAAAAACCATCCAGCCCAGGGCTGGGTAAAAAAACAAAACAAAAAAAAAAACCATATACATATTGATTTCTCCACTTCAATCAATTCTCATTTTAAAGAACCGATATAATTTCTTAGAATCACAAGAATCGATCTTTCAGTTTATGCTGTTCTCAATTAAATGAACAAAACTTTGTAGCGTGCCTCCAATCCAACAAATCTCAATAAGCTTTGTTACTTCTGATATGAAAAAGTCTTATCTTTCAAATTCAGTCAGTTTTATTACAAAATCCAAACAATCAATACTGTTTCTGAGCTCTTTAATGTGGTTTTAATTGCTGCTGCCGTTCAATAGAAACAGTAGCACAAAGCGCACGTGAACCAATCTGATACTAGATTAAGCATGGAATAAACATGAATGAACATCAAATGGAACATTAAAATATTGAAAAAGTTCACATTTACCTCAGAAAAGCCAATCAAATGTCCAAAAACTCATTAGTCAGCTAGATAAATAAACTATATTGCATGTTCATTGTATTTTTACTAAACATATAAAGATTTAAATTGTGGCTGCCATAAAAAAGACAAAGGATTTATTCAAAGTAGTTAAAATCATTGAAGATTAAGGTCATTGAAAATGTATTATAATATTATAAAAACCTAATGTGAAATTTAATTTCAAGTATATTATATTATAGTGATGTACCAACTGAGGTTCCCTGTATGTAGGGTTGGGTATCGTTTGAATTTGAACGATTCTGATTCCGATTCCTTGTTTCGATTCCGGTTCCTAACGATTCTCGATTCCGATTCTTTTAAGAGGCAGGGTCAAAAAAGTTTAGCTAACCTTGCTAACCCATGGCCTTTCTGAAGGAAATAATCCTTTCTGAAGGAAATACTCCTTCTGTAAAAATACTCCTTTTGTTGATTTCGTTATTTTTAGAAAAGTGAAGCCACACTTTGGATCGCCGACGTAAGTTACTCATGTTCGACTCGCGTGGTTATGCCAACACTTCCGGTAGACGCTTCTTCGTTGGTGTTGTTCAGCGGTTTCTTCTTCCGCTCGGCGGACTGCGAATATCGAAACTAGGAATCGAAATTTTAACTTTTGAACGATTCCGGGAAAAACGAAAAGTTAGTCTCGGTTCCAATCGATACTCGATTCTCGATACCCAACCCTACCTGTATGGTTTACAACACTGAGAGATATTTTTTTCCTTATGGAAATTTGCCATATACTGATTGGCCACAATCGATCGATATCAAATCGAAAGCTTGTGAATCGAATCGTGAAATTAGTGTCAATGCCCAGCCCTAATCAATATATTTCAGATGTTATGAATCTAGGAAGATAGGACAGAGCAAAACAGCAGGAATCATCAACTTCCCGGACTCAGTATTCCCCAAGAGAGCGGGCGAGAGACATTGTCCTAATAAACTCAACACTTGCACACTCATTACACATACACAAGCACTGGAGTTGCGTTTTTTTTCTTCACACTGGCCAAATAAGGGCTAGTAGTGTGCAAAAGACCAGAGCCAGCCAGACTGACCTCAGAACTATAAAATGGTAGCTGCTGATTCAATGACTTCAGGCTGGGCTTAAACTAATCTAAAACAGTCTTCAGTTGTGCTGAGATCCGATCTACTGCAGTTCGCATGAGTCATGGGGCAAACTTTGCCAGCCACACATCGACTCAATGGGTGGGGTGAGATATGATGCTGGCTATTTAAGGAAATGTATCTAGAAATGGTCAAATCCACCCATCAATAAACAAGTTTTAAAATGACAGCGCCGATTTACCAGAGTTGAATTCTGCAATCAATGCAATATGATTTGTTAATGGTCAGAATGATGTACATCAATGCATTGATTACAGATTTTTATTTAGATTTATCCATGCAATGCCATTCAAATGTCATTCTTGTGATGAGTGTTTTTAATTTTTCAGAAATGAAATTTTGATTTAGTAAAGCCCTATTCGGACGGTACTAGTTTAAATCAATGTCTAATTTTTTCTCTCATTCGACCTCAGTAAAAATTCCAGGGCAAATTTCCTAGTGTTTTTCGGAAACTCAACGGTCCTCTGGGAAATCTAATCTCGTGATTGTCCATCTTTTATTATACAAACGCTTCTCATCATGTGTTTTTTGACCTACCTGAGCTACCTTTTGCACAACAATTTTCCACATATATATATATATATATATATATATATATATATATTTTAAAGTGTTAGTTAGCCATCAAGTTTATCTAGTGTTCCAAGGCTGTTTAAATGATGACAGTGGATGTGTGGAAGTGAAGAGAGAAAGGGTGACATACCATCACGGTGCAGTCTTCAGATCCACTAGCGATGACTTGGTCATTGTGAGGGCACCAATCAATGTCCAGAACAGGGCCAGTGTGGCCACATACTGTAGGGTATGCCTTATCTATACGGCCCGACTGCAGAGAGAAAACAGACACAAAGACAAAAATTAGATGAAAGCATTTGGTCCATTGGGTAAATGAAATGAGTTCTGATAGTGCCAGCCAAGCTATACGTATACCAAAACAAACACTTGAGGCCTGGCCTGCATTCATGAAATTGGGGGTGGGGGAAGAAGCCATTCTTCTCCAAATTGTCAAACAATAGCTTATCCGGTCATTCAAGCGAACAGCAGAAACACACGACAGCTGATATGTAATAAAAACAGATTGCAAGGCTTTTGTTCTTGAAGCTCTGTTTCAAAATGTACAGAAATACGTGTGCAACAGGCCATTGACCCTGGGAGTGAAAGGTCACACATGGAGGTTTGGGTAGTGTGAGAAAGCTAAAATGAGATGTCAAAAAAAAAAAACATCTATGATAATGAAAATGATAAACCACAACAGTTAAATATTGAGTAAAAAATAAATACTAATTATATTTGACTGAAAATATACATTTAAACAATATTGGGAATATAAACAATGACTATTGTACTTTTTTTTGGTAAATAATAAGCCTAATTAATTATTGGAGACAATTCTTTCAAATGGTCCATTTAAATGAATCAGTTTAGAGATTGTTTGCATTTGCAAGTCAAAATAATTTATATTTATATTTTTTATAATTTATATTTTATAATAATTTATCTATTAGTGCATTTAAATAAAAAAAAAAGCAAAGCAAGCCTTACCTTTAGCTGTATTTTACTACTACACTATATTTACTTTCCGAACCATATTAAAATTTTATATTTATAGATATGTACAGGTCTGCAAAAGTCCAATGCGATTGTTTGTGTATGAAAAACAGTATTATTCTTCATTTTAAGCACCTTATGCAATATCATTATACAATGCACAGGTCTGAAGACTAGAGAGAAAAAATACAACAGAAGATTTCCCTTCTCTCCCTTGTACACAGCAAACAAAGAAGCCAAATAAAGGCACGGCTGCGGTCCCATGCCCAGTCAGCTGACTTCCTGATGACATCAGTGCCCTCTGCTCACAGGTCATGACCTTTGATCTCTCGCGAGACCACAATCTCTGCACAGGGCTGTGTGATCAGGTGTCATCTGATCACATTGTTCAGTGCAGAGAGATGTCCGCACCCGCTCTTTTGTTCATGCTGGTGCTTTGCCTATGGTCCGATGACATCACAGCAGAAAGCCCAGCCCAATAGAGCACAACAGCTTGGGCTATTCTCAAAAAAAAAAAAAAAAAAAAAAAAAAAAAAAAGACACTACCCACCTGTGCAGAAAACCACTCCGCGTACACATTCCTTCTCAAGTCTGGGCATGGTTATAACAGCCTTACGTAAGAGAACCCATACCTTTTCGTAGTTATTTGTGAGCTAAACGCCCCTCATGTTTCTTTTAAAGTGCGTGTGGATGGTTTCAAATGAGAGCAGTGAAAAAGAATGTCAAGACGACAAAACCACAGTTCACAAGAAACGTTCAAAAGTAACTGGAAAGAAAAGGAGATGTAAGAATACATAAAACTGTCTCGAAACCGAGAAAATAATCCTCACGCAAAGAACTCAAAGAAATACAGATTACCAATCAGTCCATGATACACACTTACACACTGATACAGCTGCTTGCCAATAAAAACAGAATTCCTAATTCAAAGTCCAGCTGTGGGCAGCGGCCTGTCAACCATCACATGGACCATAACAAGATAACAAGCCAAGATGCATTTTATAATCACTTACTGATATCGTCTGTGTAAAGTTATGACGAATCTGTAAAGCTCGTAAAGACAATACGCAAAGCGCGATATGACGCAAGTACCCGTATTGCTCTGTTGACAAGAAACGTCACCTAAAGAAAACAAAACATCACCTCACCAGAAGATAATATACCTAGGAAACTAATACATAAAATAAAAATAAAACAAAAAATAAAAAATTTACTGCGGTTTAACTTGCATTGAGCACAGAACATTTTTTTATTTCTGTAATTACACGTCCTTATGTCATTCCAAACCCGCAAGACCTTCGTTCATCTTCGGAACACAAATTAAGATCTTTTTGATGAAATCCGAGCGCTTTCTGACCTCCCCATAGACTGCAACGTCATTACAACTTTCAAGGCCCAGAAAAGTAGTAAAGACATCAGTTTAAACTTAATTTAAGAAGCAACGAGAATCCTTTTTGTCCTTCAACTATGACATGCAGAGGGGAAAACATACCAAGAACATTCATTATCAGTGTTGGGGAAAGATACTTTTTAAAGTAACATGTAATATTGTGTTACTCCCCTCAACTAATTATCTTAATGGAAAGAAATGCGTTTTGCTACTTTGGTACTTTTTGTCTGTTCCCATGCAAGTGACTAAGTTACAGAGAAGAAAATGAAGTAAATTTAGTAAACTGAAAAGTGTGTGAATTACATTTTTTATTGGTATACTCAAATATAAATGAATAAATCAGTAACACGATTTCGATAGCCCACTTTAAACATTCTCCTAAATACAAGTAACTTTACAGCTACATGTCAACTAATTGTCAATAGAGGATTAGTAGACTTTCTGCTTCCACTTTTTTTTGGTTCGTCCCCCAACAGACATTCCTACTGACTTTGAGTAACTTGTCCAAACCCGAACCCTAACAGTCTAATACTCCAATGACAGTTGGTTGACATGAAGTTCAAAAGATACTTATAGTTGATTTTCTAAAGTGGACTATCAAAATAAAGTGGAGCCAATAAATCTATAAAGTATGTTTCTTTACTTGTTACATCAAAAAAGTAATCTGATTACATAATGCACTTTACCTGTAATGCATTACACCAACACTGTGCGTTTTCCTATGATCATTTGCACTTGAAGAAAGTAGCAAAGGCGGAAAAGAGGGGAAGGTGATAAAAGGGGCACAAGTTCTCTCAAGAGAACCTTCCAGTGAAAACTCAAAACCCGTAACTCAAACCCTCTAAACGACGAGGATGATGCACTAGCATTAGCCTCTATATTGATTTACTGACATTATTTCCAGTTGGATTTGATGGATCACAGACATTGGAGAAGGTTAGCAGCAATAATTTTGCTATGGATTGGTTTGCTTCATCAGTTATTAACACACTCAGAGACAGCATATAAAGCATGCCTATATGTGCAAGCTTGTGATGACAAGGCATTTTTAAGGGATGATCAAATTATGAAAGCAAAAGCAAAAATAAATAAATTAAAAAAAAAAACCTTAAAGAAACAAAAATGCAGATGTCATGATCACCGATAGCACAAAAATGTCGCCTAGATGTCTATATGTGTGCGTTTTTGTCGCCAAGATGTCTATATGTGTGCATTTTTGTCGTCAAGATGTCTATATGTGTGCATTTTTGTCGTCAAGATGTCTATATGTGTGCATTTTTGTCGCCAAGATGTCTATGTGTGCACATTTTTTGAATGTCTGCTCATCGAAACAAAAAAAGGTTCAGTTACAACAAACAGGTTTTTTTTGTTTTTGCAATGTCTCTGAATGGCCAATTTAATAATAAAAAAAATAATGGCAATTATAATATATAACCACAAAGACAGTTTCTATTTCAAACATCCCTATCTGAAATGTTCATAAAAGAATGTCAACAAAAAAAGATAACATGGTTTCCACACAAAATATTTGGTGCTGAAATTAGCATATTAGCATGATTTCTGAAGAATCATGCGACACCCTGCTTGTTGAAAATTCAGCTGTCATCACATTTATATAAAACAAAATAGAATAGTTACTTTAAATTGTAATAAATAATATTTCACAATATTTCTGCGAATTATCATTAAATCAAGCATGCAATGTGCTAAATAAACCTTACAGGAAAGCTCTGCTAAATTTGCATCATGAATATTTATGCAAGTTAATCATAGCTTACTAAAACCGGAGCAGTCCAACACCATCATTGCAGTGTAGCGAGTCTAACCTGTTGCATAGCAACAGCACTTCAGCAGATCCCTCACCTCAACTAACACAGGTTTCAACCCATTCAATCAATAAACCATATTTAAATAAGGATTCCTCGCCTCAACAAAAGCACGTCAGGGAGCAAGAGAGAGATGCCAGTGAAGAGAGACATGAAAACCATGGAAAGAAGGAAATGAGAGCGACAGAAAGACTGGACACACTGTGGAGGAGGCCAACAGAAAGTATTACAGAGCCACAGATGCTTCCTGCAGTAGCAGAAGCAGGTCTGTCTTATCTAGTCAGCATGGAAATTTCCATTTCCTCTGCGAGTTCACGAGGACCCAGAGGCACCAGACTACTGTACAGCTGACCTGACTGAAGCACCCCAGCTGCTGTCCAACCACAATTCATGACCCACGTAAACAGCCAATCGGGGCAGAGGGGGCGGAGCCAAGAGTGTGTCAGAATGAGAGCAGGTGTATACTACGCAGCTGGCTAATGCATATGACCTGAAAGAGGAGGAGGGGGAAGAATAGGGTAAAGAAATGAGGAAGAAAGATCACAAGATAGGAGAGATCCTGAGATTTTTAACGCTCAAATATATATATAAAAAACACATTTATTATTCTAAATACAAAAATTAAATGACGTATTAATTATTCTAGTTATGATACTGTATTTGTTATATTATAAAAAAAAATATTCATGCAAGAAGTGACAGTGACTTCTGTACTGTAGTGACATTCCATCTGGATTCATTTAATTTATGTATAAATTAGAAAATTGACAAACAAATTAGTCAAATTCTGTAAAAGCATTAAAATAACATCTGGATGAATAACTTAAAAAAAATGTATAGTAAGTAAAAATGAAATAGTATATTATTTATAATATAATAATTATTACTATTATTATTATTATAAATATATAACTTATTTATAATAGTTTATAAATTATTATAAATAAATCACAATTAAAAGAAACATAATAAATGGCCACAATGGACTTTACACATTACCCAAAAAATTCCCTTCACATTGCCCCTTTTCTTCTATGTGTCTATCAAAGACTCTATTGGGCG